CCCGATTTGATTCCCAGCATCCCATATAGTCCAAGAGCACTACAAGGAGTAATTCATGAGTGCATGAGCCAGGAATAATCCCTGTACAAAAGACCTCTAACATTGTTTTCTCTTTTTTATTTGGTTTGTTTTGGGAGGGAGATGGTTCCTTTGGGGGTGGGACAAACTTGGCTTTGCTCAAGGCATATCCTGGTGCTGTGCTTAGGGTCACTACTGGTGGTGCTAGGGTCCATATTCAGTGTTTGGGATGGAATCAGAGTCATACACATGCAAGGCATTACTCAATCTCCAGTCCATCTCCTCCATTTTCACTTATAAATTTTACTTCCCCCTCTCCATAGATAACACATCTTAATTTTATGCTTTGTGAAAAAAAGAAGTTGGTAACTGCCAATATTTAGCACATAGAAAACCTTACCCTCCATAAAGTTTAGATTTCCTTTCCATATAAATATATTTTCTTTAGAACTAAGCTGCCCATTACTAAAGCTCCTTGAAATAGGATTATTCTTATATGCCAACTCTATTAGTGTTACCCCAATATCAGCTTGCCCTTGTCCAGTCTCTGTGTTCTATCAAGAGAATAAGTAATAATATAAGCCACCTCCTGCCAGCATCAGATAATCTCCTCATTGGTCACTCTCCAGAACTCACAACTGCTTCTCCCTGAAGGGAACATAAAATGAGGCACCCATAACCATGCCACTGGACTCCATGCCAGGTTGTTTTCACTCGGGGCACCCCAAAGGGGGCAGGTGAGAGCCCTCCCCTCCCCAAGGGACCCAACCCAAGGCAGCCAACCTCCACACCCAACCGCCATCACGCTCCAGGCCGCCTTCCACATGCTTGGGCCAAGCCTCCACATATTCCTGGACAACACGGCCTCATTTGAAGCTGTGTGACACATGATAAGACACTCCCTATCCATTTTCCATAATTACTACACCATATTTGATGGGGTTCAGACATTAGGCAACAAATCATAGAGGGAAATATATATATATATGCATATTTACATATTTTCATATATATATATATACCAAAGCTCACATCACCCAAACTTTCACAACATGTTAGTGATATCCTATAGAATATCTTAATGATAGAGATATGGTGCCGCCAGCAGGTCAGTCTGTACCTGTGAGGTGAGTGCATCAGCAGCCTGATGGTGCCTTCAGACTTCTAGATACCCCAAAATTCTGTTGTGCCTTTATCCAGACCCCAACAACTTGGTGCCAAGTTTACAAAGAAAGTAAATGGCCAAAAGTTAGGTATGTGGGAGAAACACCCATAAACCCCTCCAGATGAGCTATATAATTGGAGGCATAGCCTCTCTGGTTCCTGATCAAAATGCTTAACAGCCATGATCCCAGAGACTCAGAAAAAAATCTTGGAACCCAGCAGCTTTTGGCAGAGATGCGTCCAGTCCCCGCAGTAGGTTACCGGTGCTAGGCCACCCCAGGTGGGAATAGGTTTCTTGCCTTGGCCTGTTCCCCCTGGTGGCCTAGTGGCCGCCATCCTCCAGAGGCCACTGGACAGTCAGGTTTGTGCCTGCAGTGACAAGACACGTGGGGCCAAACGGGATGGGGGTGGAACCAGCTGTTTCCCCCCTGCCCCAACAAGACCCCAAGTAGCTGCCCACAAACGGCTTCTCTGGCTCCTGATCAAGCTACTTAACGGTCATGATCCCAGAGACTCAGAAACAAATCTCAGAACCAAGTGACTTTTGGCAGAGATACGTCCAGTCCCTGAAGTAGGTTACCAGCGCTGGGCCACCCCAGTGGGGAAATGGTGCTGTCCCTGCACCCACTCCCCTTTGGTGGTTTGGTGGCCGCCATCCTCCAGAGGACATCGGACAGTCAGTTTTGGGCACTCAGTGACAAGACATGTGGGGCCTCACGGGATGGGGGGTGGAGCCAGCCCATTCCTCCCCGCCCCAACAAGACCCCGAGTCACCACCCACAAACAGCCTCTCTGGCTTCTGATCAATGGCCATGATCCCAGAGACTCAGGAACAAATCTCAGAACCCAGCAGGTTTTGGTAAAAATCCCTCCAGATTTGTTAAAATTTTGGAATTCCAAAATTATGCGACCACTACTGCAGCTGTGTGACATCATATGTTATTCATAACCAGCAATAGAAAATAAATTGTCTACGGTTGCCTTTTTTGGCAGAGCTGAGTGTTGGGTAAAATTCCAAATAATAATGGTGGGTCTGGGGTCAAAATATTGAATGAAATCAAAGTGGAGAGAAAGTAATGTGGAAATCATCTGCCCCACAGGTGGGGGCAGGGTGTCAGATGGAGGGTATATTGGGGTTTTTGGTGGTGGAGAATGAGCACTGGTGAAGGGACAGGTGTTTCATTGTTGTATGACTGAGACTTAAACACAAAAGTTTTGTAACTGCTCTCATGGTGATTCAATAAATAAATATATAAAAAAGAAAAAAAAGTAAGGTGGCGTTCATGCCCAATTCAATCAGCCTAATCAATGGCTGAATAAATAGCAATACTCCTACATTTAAAAAAAAATATCTTAATGGTTCCTGCCAAAATAGAACAAACTTCACACTGTTTCCTATATGAGCACTTTTTTGTAAGCATGTTCAGTGGTTCTTCATAACAGACAGTACAAAATATATTCTTTTTGTTGTGTTTTGGGACAGAGATTGGGGCTTGGGATGGAAACATCATGAATTTGGTGGTGGGAATACGTAATGGTGGTGGGATTGGTGTTTGAATATTAAATGTAATCAAATATTGTGAAGTAACTTATAAAATAAAAAAATTTTTAATTGAAATAAAATAAATGGGGGCTGGAGCAATAGCACAGTGGGTAGGGTGTTTGCCTTGCACACAGAGGACCTAGGTTCGATTCCCAGCATCCCATATGGTCCCCTGAGCACCGCCAGGAGTAATTCCTGAATGCATGAACCATGAGTAACTCCTGTGCATGGCCGGGTGTGACCCAAAAAGCAAAAATAAATAAATAAATAAAATAAAATAAATTACTTTTAACAAAAGAGAATAATATTTTAACTAATCCCTTCATCACTATTCTTCTGGGTTCCTGGACATAGTTCCCAATGTGGGCAGTATTTCCCCTACACAAGTTATTCTCTACACAGTGGCTTAGTGTCCTATAATTAAACTCAATTCTAACACTATTTACATTAGATTCCGTGGCACCAGAGTTCAGTCCTGGAAGTAGGACTTTGACATACCCCAAACCCCCAGCTGCCTTCAAATTACCAGTAACAAGGTCAAATTGTTGCTTGTGGTCCTGACCAATAGAAGATAAACCAGAGGTTCCCTCAACAAACTCATTGGGTTTAATTCATTTGCCAGAACAGCTCAAAGAACTTGGAGAAACCTTTACATACTAGATTGCTAGTTTATTATAGAAGGTACTAATTCAGGAACAGTCAGAAGGAAGAAATACATAGAATAAGGTATGGAGATAAAGCTCAGGACATCTATAGCTTTTCAGGCAAGCTATTCTCCCTGAATCTCAGTGAAATCACCAACCAAAAGGTTTGCTTAATCCTGTCATTTGGAATTTCTCTGACAACTTCATTACATACTCTTGATTAATTATATCATTTGCCATTGACAACTGATCCAACCTCAAGCCTCTTTCTCCCACCAGAGGTAGGGGAATGATACTGTTGAGCCTGAAACATTGAGCCTTCTAATCACAAGGTCAGAGCCTCCAGAAATCAGCTTCTATTCTTAGGTATGGCCCAAAAGTTATCACATTGACATAAGCCTCCTCCAAAATCTTGGTGCTGCTCCTCACTTAGGAAATTGTAAAGGGTTTTAGAGCTTTGTCCCAAAAACAGAGTGGATGATCAAATCTTTTATTATAAAATATCACAACTAAACTAACGAAGCATTACATATAAAATATATGCATACATGATGTTATATATAATACTTTACAAAAGCATCTATATACAAAATATTGTTATCTGTTTCTTCTAAAAGAAAAAGCTGCCAAACACATGTCATATGGACAGATCAAAAGCCCTCAAAGGTCTGTATCAACATCCTCTTTTAAGGACCCCTCAATATCTTTGTGACCTGATGTGGAAGATCTGTGAACTAATATGGAGCAGATCCTTTGGAGTAGGACTGATGGAGTATGTTTGTTTTAAGGACCACACCCAGAAGCTCTCAGGGCCAAGCTTCCACCAAGTCTCAGCTATATCAGGACCTCTTAAACTTTTTCCACTTGTGACCCCTTCTCGCCTGAAAAAATTTCATGTGACTCCAAGTGTATAAGTATACAAATAGATGATTTGATGATAATCATAGGATTTGGTGGTAATTTCTTTTTTATGTTAACTTCTTTTAAGACAAAAATTTTAACATCACAAAAAAAATTTTTTAACATCACATAAACCCCTGATCACAAATACCTTGTCACATGTATTCGCGCCATATTCAAAGCTCAGTGCTAGTCCCATGCCTGGTTCTCTAATTTCATCCCAACCCTGATCAGAATTGGGTATGAGACTCTTCCATATGCCCTTTAGCTATAGGAAACTCTCCTGTATGCAATGTATGTATGTAAGGCAAACATATTTCTATGGAAGCTGCTTTGACTTTTCTACTATTTTTTTCTGTATTCACTACTTTCATTGCGAAGCTAAGACACTGAAGTGGGTTACTGAAAAGTCAAGTCAGAAGTAAAATGAAAACACATTTTTCAGGCCCCAAGGAGTGTACAGAAATGGTCCTGTTGCCTTTTTAGAGAAGTTGGCACAATGGTGAAAATGTAGCACTTGGTATGTGGCCTGCAAGTCTCATTATTTTACAATTATACCTGGATGTCAAACATCAGGGTTGGCATTTAAAGCCCATGGAGTTGTGAGTGTTTAAAATGTTCACGTTGGCCTTCTGCGAAAGTTAAAGAGAAGACAGGTCTTTTTAACATAGCATGTGTTTTTCCTAACTAGCCAATAACAAGTTGCAGGAAAGAGTTATACAGGTACTTACTATTTATAACCCATGGCCACATCCACAAAATACTTTCTTCTCTGCCGATAGACGTTGTCCTTAAATCCCTTAAACAAAAAAGAGATTAAATGATTTAAGAGGGTCCAAAAATTACCCGTGGAAATCCTAAGAGAAAAGCACTGTGATCTTGATCGGGTATTCAGGTGTTAATATTCACATTGGACGGCCATTGGTATAACAGTCCAAGCACTGGATAAGCTTACAATACAACCTCATTAAATTTGTGCTGTGCAAGAATGCAGGTGACGTTTGCCTTTCTGCAAAGTAGGCAGAGTGGCTTAGTTAAGCAAATGGATTTTGTGAACAATATCTTTTGGGTCTCAATTATAATCTACGTGTAATTGATCTCAATCACAAATTCATCTTATCCTATAATTAAAATGAGTCTCTTTAAGATGGTTATTCAATAGGTTAACTTAAGTGTAATTGCTTCATGTAAATGGACAATAAATAAACATATTTACAATTCTATTATTCACAGAACCAGAGAGGGAGCATGAGGGTTTTCATGACTTGTGTGCAGACAATCCTGGTGTGATCCATGGCACCACATGGTGCCACCACCCCCCTCCACTACCATCCCTAGCATCATCAAGCATCACCCTGGAGGCCCTGAAGCACTCCCATGTGTGATATCTGAAGAGATACTTATGCAGGCCTACAAACCCTGATATGGCAAAGCCTAAGCAACACTGCACACTTGGGTCCTGGCATTGAGCCACCTATCAATTGGCCGAGAGTTGCAAGGTGGGAACTTGTGCCTACTGAGAGCACTGCTTGGAAGACCCCCCAAAATAAAATATATTAACATCCTCTTATTCATACTAATCACCAAATCCCCAAATTGGTCCAAATTAAAGAGGGTTTACTGGTTTTAATGAGTATAGCTACACGAGAGAAAAGCCATTACAAGTGACTCAGGTCCAAGATAGCAAGTTAGCTCCATTCCACTCTGAATTCCTATGATGCGAATTAGTCTTTAGCCAACTTCAAGCCTTGTCTCCATGATCATGCCTTGGGAAATTAAAAATTCCGTCTGTCATTCGTCAATCAAGAGGAATCCTTCTGAGAGGACTTTCTGGTTTATTGGAGAATCTTTCCTCTTCCCAACAGATTTTCCATTTTCCCTCTCCTTCAAGTACTTACAGAATACCAATTCTTACAGGAGTTGTTTCATCAAACTTCTTGGAAGCTCAGAGGAATTACTACAATTCAGTTGAATTGTTCCCATTTAACTTCAAACCTCAGCAACCTTCTCAAGCCAAAGGATAACTAGTAAGCTAAGCAGTGGTCACTCTGAGAATGGATGCAGACAAAATATAAAGAAATAAAATAAAACCAGCCACTGAGATCATGGGCTTTCCACAGAAAAAGGGGGTCAGCCCACCAATACCTTGATACCTCTGCAACAATTAACACTTTTCTACATGGTGGGCTATTGAACAGGAACCTTAAAATCATTAGAAAATTATACCAGTCTCTCATCTGGTGAAATAGAACAGGACTTAAGGATAGAAATCCTCACATAAATGACTATTGGTCAGATATGAAGAATTCCCACAACCTTTATTTCAAGATGAAAAAGTTGATAATAGAAGATTTGGAAGTACCCTATGGAAACTAAAAGCTAGCATTTTCTTCTGTATAAATTGAAAGTTGGGGTGTATATGTTTGTGTGTGTGTGTCTGTGTGTGAGTGTGTATGTGGGGGGGCGGTTAACTGGGGTTAAAAAGGCTTGTTTAAGACTGGAGCAATAGTACAACAGGTAGGGTGTTTGCCTTGCATGTGGCCAACCCGAGTTCAATCCCCAGCACCCCATATAGTTCTCTGAGAAGTTCTAGGAGTGATTCCTGAGTGCAGAGTCAGAAGTCCTGAGTACTGCCAGGTACGGCCCCCAAAACAAAACAAAAGAAGTCTTGTTAAGTCTTCAAACGTGTACATACAAATCGTCTGACTATGATTACCATATTCACAAGTGGGTCTGTGACCTGAGAAAAGGTCCAGACAGTAGCAGACAGGATCGTGCTTCAAAGTTATAGTTGTTTCCCTTGTGGCCTTACCAGGCAACTTGGAAGCTAAGACCGAAGAGTTCTAAGAACCTTTAATACTCAAAAAGGAAGCAAGCCATGACAAAAGATAAAGAATCTCGAGAAAAACACATCTGTTCCCTAGTTCCTGCCAAACCAGACACCATGGCAACCGTATCATAATCTACTGGGTTTCCTGAAGAATCTCAACTGTCTCTCCCCAGCAAGCACCTGCACCTTTTCCAGGCATGCAAAGAGAGTGATTTGCTCATCATGCCTCATTAGTCTAGTGTGCTGGTGATTACCCAAATGCTGTGGGCACTCCAGCGCTTCCACGATTGAACTCTGGACTGGCAAAATGAAACAGGGATGCGAGTTAGCTAACTACACTCGCGATTACAACGGAGGCAGAGCCAACTTTGGCTATTCATTCTGGACTGATGTCAGGGAGAAGGTTATCAGATTACAGAATGGCCTGCATATTTGTAGCATGCTGAACCCAAGAAAAAAATTATTCGTTGTTTATGTGAGATCCAAATTGGACTGGGCATCATACATATACATTATATATGAATTTACTAAATTTGGCGGCCTTCGGTGCCTAGAGTAAATGAGGCATATCCACCCTTTGGGTCAGTTTAAAACCAGGGGAACAGAAGACCCAGTCCACACCTGAAAGTATTAAATGCATGTTGGCAGTCAACGTGCAACCCTCAAATAGGTCAACTTTGATGCAATATTAGAATCACTAATAATTACTTTTAGTTACTACTTGAAACCCAGCAACATTCCCAGAGGTTCTGATTTAAGTACAGAGATAAGATGTTGGCATCAGTCTTTTTCATAAAGAGTTTTTGAATAAAAAAATTACTGGACCAGATATTAGTTCTTAAACTTTGGAACTCCCCTGCAAACCCTTTTATATGCAGATTCCAGAACTCATCCATGAACATTCTTCTGATAGGCCTCATGGTATTCTTTTTTCAACAAATGCCTTGCGGGTGGGCCTTGAGCTACCTTGAAAGAACCTCTCAGTCTAGGTTCTTGCTACTCAAATCACAGTTCCACTCCTTCTAGAGAAGTCTCAACAGGGAGGCTAGACTCTCAGACCCTCCATGTAAATTTAATAAAAATTCTCCAATTGACTTTCATGTCCCTGGAAGTTTGAGGGGTGCTCACTTCCTTTTCCAAGTCCCTCTGAACCATTCTAAAATAATCATTCTTGTCTTGGTACCAGAATTTTTCTCTAGGTACATCCACAAAAACACTTGGACAACTCTTTCCATACTCATCAAATAACAATAAATTTAAAATATCAACTTAACAACTACTAATTCAATAAAGAAAAGGCATGTTCCAAAAAAATGCCTTTTTTTCTGGAATGTGAAAAACCTATTTATTGAGAGATTAAAAAAATTAAAAAATAAAATGTCAACTTACCACAATAAACATGAGGTGTACTTAACAAAAAAATCTATGTGGCCTTTTTTTATGACAAGTGAGATAAGAGACTGCTAAGTACTTGCAATTATTTCAAGTGGATGTGCAGAAAATAAGAAACGGTATCATGAGGTGGTTATAATTAGGAGTAATGGGGCCAAATTAATAACTGTAAAATCTACACTGGGTACAAAAATACAGTTTTCACAGCAAGGTCATCTCGGTTCCTGTGGCTGGGTGGTTTAAAATAGCTGACCCCCTTTTTCCAGGTTAAGTAATTTTCAAACTGAACTGAAAGGAGCATTTGGAACTAGAAGGTTAGTGAGAAATCCTTTACTGTCCAAGCATTGATCTGAATGATTTAATACAGGGTTTCGGTTGCCAGGATGAAACATTTTTACTCTTGCCAAAATTCTTTCCAGTTGTTTTATTAAGTAGAATTTTCAAACATCCCTTTGAGGTCAATAAGAATTTTATTTCCACTTTTTCACATCAAGAATTTAAGGTGTAGGGTCCCAGAGCAATAATGAAGTGGGGAGGGCATTTGCCTTGCATGTAGCCTACCCGGGTTCAATCCTCAGCATCCTAGAGGGTCCCTCAAGCACTACCAGGAGTAACTCCTGAGTGCAGAGCCAGGAGTAACCCCTGATCATCACTGGGTGTGACCCAAAAAGAAAAACAAAAAGAATTTAAGGCGTAGGTAAATAGACTTGTCCAAGGTCATCCTGCAAGCTAAGAGCCGTGTCTGGGCAGGTCTACTACTGCTTATCCCTCAGATCAAACCCTTCTGCTCATCTTGACTCCTCTGGTGGTAGCAAAGGGAGAAGGGAGAAGTAAGTAGATGATTATTATAGAGGGTTTTTTTTAGTATTTTTTCTAATATTCTAGAAGTTTACATGTTAAGAACTATGGATTGTTTTTCCCTGAAAATTTAGACCATACTGTCACGTACAGCATACCATGTCTTTTGAGTGAACCTGGATTTTTGATAACCCAATTCTTTATGTCTGACCACTTGTTTGGTATGCTGCAGATTGATAGGAATTGGTCTGCTGTGCAAAAGACTGGCTGGCTTGAAGGTTAAAGCAGTTATCAGATAACTATAGCAGTCATTTAGTTTCCTTGAAATCAGGGGAACTGAAACGTAAGTGGAGACTTGTTCAAAGTTGTTCTCTGCTGCTCAGGCTTGGAGACCCACTGCACAGAGTACAGGACAATATCAGATTTCTGGGTTTCCTCCACTTGAATGAAATGAATATACAGAAACCATTATCCTGAGACCACAAAGCCCTCCTGTAAGCATGAGTGATCTTCTTGTGCTTCCCCCTTTTATCTCTCCGTTTTTACACCAGGGTGACCATGGGGGCAAGGGGGGCAGAGAGAATGCTTGTAAGGAATGAGTGCACTGCTTACTTCTCCCGGACTATTAACTGCAGTTCATTCTGACCATAAAGAAGTCCCGGGTCTCTTGTGTTCAATAAAAACTGATGTAAAGAGGGAGAGTGGGAATAAAGGGAAAGGCTTACCTAAGTATCATATTTCTTTAAAGGTGGTCATTTTTATTGGAGGAGAGGAGAGAGGGTGGTAGATGGATTTAGAGGAGAAGCAGGAAGAGATACATGCATCTTCCGAGCGGCCTTATTCTAAAACCCGCTGCCTTCCCACTGAGACTGGAGCGCTTTCCATTACTCTACTCCTTAACTACCTCCAGTCAAAGAAAATAGAAAGGAGAATTTTATTTTCTCACTAAGCTCCATAATGCCTAGTCCTCCCTAGTTTCCCCAAAGGGTCATCAATTTCAGTTCCTCGTTTTTCCAAGGGTCACCATCTGCAAGCATATTTCAGCCTATCTCATTCTACAGACGTATTCTCCAAGGTTTCAAAGCTCCTCTGTGTCCAACCCTTTTAAAAATAAATGCCGTATGGAAATGCCATCCTTCTAACCTGCTTCCAGCCAACGCATATGTACTGGAAAGCTTTATCATTTGAAAATCTGTTGAGTTACGGGGAAAAAATCCTGAATTGCTCGACAATAAAGCTTTACAGCACAGAACGTGGGATACTGCATGGCTAAGGGTGGAGCTGAGAGAGCACATGGAAAAGAATTTTATGGGCCACTTACTGGGTGATCGGCATCCAGCTCAGATCCGTACATGAGAACTCGGTGAGAGCATTTGTCTAATTCAGAGATCTTCCGGGGAAACCAGGGCACATCCTCTAGCTCTGTTGAAAACACAGTGCAGGTTCAAAATATTAGCTCACAGATTGTGTTTTCCCCCAAGCAATATTTGTCCAATTGCAAAAATCGCCCAACAAGTAAAACCCAGTCTTGCCTTCTTCCTCAGTCCAAATGTTCTCCGGGGGATTCAGTGTCACAATTGTGGTCTGAAACTTCAGCAGCTGAATGAGCTCGTTGAATTCTGTTTTGCCACACTCACAGTCCACAAAGATTTCAACTTCTGAACTTCTTCTTCGAGATCGTCTGGATTCAATATGAAGCATATTGACATGCTTTTCCTGTGAAAACAGAGTGAACCTCTGAACCGCCTTCTGGGTACAATAACAGGAATTCCAAGTTCTATCCTTGTTCAAGGTATCATGTGTCCATGGAGGAAGAAAATAACAAATTCCTCCTTCTTTGGTTATCTCAAACATGAAAATGCTCCCAACCATATGTCTTCTCATAGAAACAGATCCTGGAGGATCTGTCTCATAAAATGAAGGGGTATTCAGGAATATAAACAGAATGGGTCACAAAGATAGCGCAGAGGACAGGGCACTTTCTTTGCAGCTGGCTAGCTTGGGTTCAATCTCTCACATATGGTCCTCTCAGCGTTTTCCAGATTCCTGAGCGCAGTGTCAGGAGCAAGGCCTGAATACAGCCAGTGTGGCTCCAAAATAAAACAATGAAAAAAGAATCACAGAAGGGGCTAGAGAGGTAGTATAGCAGGTAAGACACTTGCCTTGCACACAGCAGACCGAGTTTCAACCCTCAGCATCTCATATGGTCCCCCACCCCCTACCAGAAGTGATCCTTAAGTGCAGAGCTAGGAGTAATTCTTGAGTACTACTGGGTGTGACCCCAAAACCATATATACCTACATATATATATATATATACATATCTATTCAGGAATAATATAAAATTTATTATAGTCTTCATTTCCCAGAATGGTCCACATCCCACTGGTGGTACACATAAGGCACTTGAAAATTAGGTTTAAATTTGACCCCATGATGTTCTCTTCTTCTGAGTTAAGTGAAAACTAAGTTCTCTTAATTCTAACCTAGTCACAAGTAAGCAGATACATCCATAGTATGGTGACTGGTATACACTGACCTAGGGATAGGTCTAACAGAATCCTGGGTGAGCTTAGATATTTTAGCACAGGAGTAGGCTGGGTAGTTTTCAGGGCCAATGTGAGATAAAATCAAACATTTTCCTCTAAATAAAAAAAAAACCAGTTCTCTTACCAGAAAAAGAAATGTTCTATTTCTGCTTTTATTAACCTTTGCACTAAAGACACACTTTCTAAACTGGCTGACAAAAAGGTTAAAATTAATATTAAGTTCAAGGTTCAAGTATCTTCACACACATCATATCATGTTGGGTTTTTAATGTCCTTTGGTGGAAGCAGAGCAGATATTTTTAGATGAGGGACCTGAGGTCCATATGGGTTAAGTGGCTTAGCTAAGACCCCATGACTAGCTGATGGCCAGCTGAAAATTCCAGCCTGCTAACCCTTTCTCCAGGGACTTTATCACTGCACCCAGATGTCTAATTGAATTGGCCTGCCTTTGGGCACTATATAGAGACATGCTGGATGATATAATTATGTGTAAAATATTTCCCCAGATTTCCATTACCACTGTTTATGGTAGCTGATCCTCTTTTCAAGGTCAAAGGAGAACAAGGAAATATTTGCCAAGGAGGCTGTTAATTCCCCCATTATGCTCATTAAAGAGGCATCACAATAACGCCTTGTGTCTGTGTACTTTCACTCATATTATTTCATCACAACAACCCTATTAGGTAGGAATTAAAGCTGCTCATTCACAAATGAAGAAATTAAATCTAGGAAGTAGCTAACAATTATCCAAGCCAGGAGACACAAACCTGACTCCCTGACTACAATTCTGACCATCCTTCCACTGTGTCATAGCTTAAGGCAGCACACAGAGATAAGCCCCTTAACTGACACCCCTAACAATAGCCAGAGTCCCCAGACCAATGTAAGGATAGGTGTTTCTGAAGGGGAAGGGAGTCAGCAGGTGTGATCTGGCAGGAAGGTTGTTTTAGGCTTTCCTATCCCTCCCCTCAACCCTGTGCTTCTCCCACAGCCCCACATTTGGGCATGAGGAAGGGCTACTGCACTTTTATAATAGACTCTGAGAACCAGGGACTGGAGTAATGGTACAGCAGGTAGGGCATTTGACTTGCAAGTGGCTGACCCAGGTTCGATCCCTGGCATCTTATATGGTCCTATGAGCTTGCCAGGAGTCATCCCTGAGCACAAAGTCCCAAGAATAATCCCTGATCACCACCAAGTGTGGATCCCCCCTCCAAAAAAAGGAGAAGAATCAGCCTTAGCTTATATGTAAGTCGAGTGGCTCATATGTTTAAAAGTGTTGTATCAGGACCAGAAATAAGGTTCAATGATAAAACACATGTCTTTCATGTGTGAGGCCCTGAGATCTATCCCTGGAACCATGGAGATGGGGAGGGAAAAAAACACATTAAAAAAATATATATATATATACTGTTACACCTAGTTTTACTGGATATAAGACCAGATTCTTATTTCCTTCTTATCTATTCATATAAACTTTTCCTTTTTGGGCCACACCCAGTGACATCTGGAAGTTGCTCCTGGGGGGTTGCTGGAATGAGGGCATTCCTAGCAATGCCAGGGGGACTGAAGGTGGTGCTCCCACCTGCAATGCATGTGCTCCAGCTCTCTTCGCTACCTTCTTAGCTTGCGCTACAATCTAAGCTGGTCAGACAAATTTCCCCACTTAAGTAGTCTCCTTGCCAATAAAGTTAACAAAAAAACAATAATATAAAAATTTTAAAGATGCATTAAATTCCTGAAACAGTGAGGCTTCAGGGAATACCTACACTCATGCATCTCACTTTATGCAAAAATGTACTCTTAGGACAATTCAAATGTTAACAAATCAAATCAGGCTCTTGATATTTAAAGATACCCTGTTTGACTCTTTGCGTGTTTGCATTTCCAGGTGTGAGGATCACATTTTTTAATTACTGGCTTCCCCACCTGCCAACAGTCTGCAAAATTACTAACGGGCTACTCTGAATTAATAAAACAGTCCACACAAATGAGCTTATTTCACTGTTTGGCAAACACTCTCCTCGTAAGGCCTTATGAAATTTGGTTTCTTTGAGCTTTTCAACATATTATCTGGCAATTTATTCAGTCATGTGTCAGTACAAAAGACAGGTTTGAACCAAGCACACAGTGCCTTTTTGAATGATGTAATGATAGTTTACATTCACCTGAAAGAGTTTCAGTGCTTTCACCAATCCTCCAACTTCATTTTTCAAGGAGAATACAACAGCCGTCTTGCCACTTTCTGTAGCAGTTTCACTTTTGCTGTTTCCCTTATTAACATTTTTATCATCATTTTTGCTGCTGTTAGCTTTATTGAGCTTCAAGGAGGTAGAGACACACACAGAGAACATTCATTAGGAATTCAGAGTTTTAATAATTGAATATAGGATTCATTCAGAACTCCATTCATTTGCCGGAAACCCTAGCTATCACAGAAATGAGAAAGTGTCAGGTCACTCATAATTGTTGATCATAAATATCAGTCTAATTTACTCTTACATGCTATTTTTCAGTGCCCTCCAATATCACCCAGTGGTTGAAATGAAAGGGGAATAAGATTTGTTCCACTTTAATAGCAACAAAAATCTGACCATCATGAACTATAAGGTTGAATAACTCCTGCCTTTCTTTCTAGGTTTATTTAAAATAATAATATCTATTGAATGATATAAAATAATATTAATTACAAAAGATATGAAAATAAGACAAAACATTATCACAATAATAGTTTTATTTCAATGAAAACAAAATGTTTGAAGCTTGGGGATGTGATTCAGAGGTAGTGCAAATACATTGCATGGATGATGTCCTAGGTTTGTTTGATTCCCAGCACCAAATATATGTTTCTGGTGCATATATATATTTATATATTATAAATATATTTTTATATATTATATTTATATATTAAGCAAAAATTATATATTAAACAAAAAATATATGTATGTATTTTTCCCATTCCACAATGTGTCAGGACATGCACTGACTCTAGTAATCTTATTTCCTGCAATGAGATACACATTATGCAGGTGAATTTATCTGCAAAAATTCAACACAAAGGGTTTTATCCAATTGTGGCCATTTGTATCAAGAGATGTTATCTAAAAAGTGTTAAGAAAATTTAGCCACAGTAAGAGAGAAAAGAAAAGGAGAAAGGAAGGAAGGAAGGAAGGAAGGAAGGAAGGAAGGAAGGAAGGAAGGAAGGAAGGGAGGGAGGGAGGGAGGGAGGGAGGGAAGAATGGAGGGAGGAAGGGAGGGAGGGAGGGAGGGAGGGAGGGAGGGAGGGAGGAAGAGATCATAATTAGGAGCATAGAGTAAAATTTAAGAAACATCATTAATAATTTAAGACACTATGATACATTATGAAGTAAGACTATTAGTCCTATTGGCTAAAGATAAAAATGGCAGATTCCAGAAATTCAGATCACTCTGTCAAGAAACGCAGAATAAAAGGATGTAAATTTATTTGACAGGCAAAGTAAAGTTACAGTGCACAATTTTGTGTATGTTTTATGCTAATGAAGTAGACAGAGAATCTTCTCCCTGGCAAAAAATGATATAGTACAACCACATCAATTATATTACTTCTTCATGAAACTGAGAAATGTACATTTGATACTAAACCCAGGGCATAGTGATTTGCCTTTGTCTTCTCTGATTTCCCTACTGACTTTATTTTCACATGTTGTATTGTCTCACTCACAGATTTATATATCATGGAAATGTATATTTTATTATTTATGAGTTGAGGGAGGTAAGTTTATGCAGACACTGACATTTGACTATATTAGTCATTAAAAACTCTAAAGTAAAAAAAAACAACTCTAAAGTCTTAGTATTCTCAACATCTGCCACACCTCACCACATAATACACAGACATACAGATCTTATATTTCTAAATAGATTTTTGTCTATGAAAAGGGTCATACATTAGTCACACAGAGTGTTCTTTACTTTCCTTCTAGCAATTCATTATTTAAAATTCCTCAGAATAATATCTCATCCAAATATTCATGATATTTAAATGTTTAAAAACCTATTTATGTTTCTGATCTCAGTTTTCGCAAATTGAATTTAAATAGTTCCACAAAACTTGCTCTGATTATGTTTCAACATTTTTAGCAATAATAACCTATCAGTACAATATAACCCTCTGGCACATATTGGGAGCTACAATATTAAAACTTTGTCTGTGATACAGACTGAATTAGAACTGGTTGATAAACTCGGACAGTACTTTAATAAAATATCATTTAATAGTTTTTAAACCATTTTAAATTTTAAATAAAATGTAGAAACATTTTATTTCACATCCTTTTAAAATCCTGTGACTTTTGCCTTTTAAAATACTGCAAGACATTCTTTTCTATTCCTTTAATACTTAAGTACAAAAACTGTTTCAAATGCTGAAATAGTGTGTTTCTCCACTATTGTATTACTTTTAAAAAGGTAAGGAGTAATAAGGAACACCTTATTTTTTTAAATCATCAGACCTTTTTTTTTTTAACTCCAACAACCAGCACAGTATACAAAAATAGAAAATAATGTGTTTTAAAGACCAAGATTTTCAATGAAAAGAAACTAGAAGAAACAGTAATCTTGAAGGAACCATCAAAACCTATTTTATTTCCTCTCTCTATTCCTAGCCACACATAATAGGAATAACTTAGAATTTCAAAACTTATAGACATTTTCTGTTTACTACTATATGAAACATTGATTCATACAGTCTGTTGATGTTCTAAACTAATTTAATATTATTTCTATTTATAAACTTCGTGAAGAGGAAGTTTTAATAAGTAGGAATGAGTAACATCCACTTTATGGGGGAAAGAAGGCAGGCTGGAAAAGGCAGAAGGGAAGCAGGGCAGACCGATGATAGAGGACATGAGTTGAGGTGTGTGTGGTCCCTCTATGTCAGGTGACCAGGTGCAAGGGTAAAGCCACTGCCCTGGAAAACACCTCTCTAGAAGTGCCAACTTCTCAGTACTCACGCTTACGCTTCCAAGTAGCTGATGCTCTTCGGGCACTGCTGAATCCAAGGAAAACCCTCTCCTTGCCCAGTATTTACTGGAAAACATCATCATTGCTGGCTGCATGGATCCCAGTGTAATTTTCTTCCTCTGCAGCAGGGGGGACTAGTGGAGCAGCAGCGGCCCTGGTGGTGCGTGAGAGAAGGGACTTGAGAACTGCAGCCCACTCAGGGCGCTGTCCAGAACCCTGGGACTGAAGACAGAGCAGTGAGAATCCTCCCCTCCCCAGTTCCTTTATAAGGATGACTAAGGGCTGATGGAAGCTGATTAGAAAGAAACTCATTTCTAGCTGCTGATGGCCACAGTCAGATTACAGATCTGAAGCCTGGGGTTATCTGTGTTGGTGGGGTGATTTGTTTCATAGGTCGAGTAGCCATTTGCGCGTGGGTGGTAGACAACAATACATTATGGGGGTGTTATTTCTAAGAGAACAATCTGTCCCTGACGTTAGCTCTCATCTTTCAAATCGGAATCCCAAAATCGTGCAGTCACTGCTGCAACCGTGTGACATCATATATTATTCATAACCAGCAATAGAAAACAAATTGTCTACTGTTACCTTTTTGGCATATCTGAGTGTTGGGGTAAAATTCCAAAGAATAATGGTGGGTCAGGTGTCAAAATATTGAATGTAACCAAAGAAGAGAGTAATATGGAAATCATCTGCCCCACAGGTAGAGGGAGGGTGTGGGATGGGATGGGTGTATACTGGGGTTTTTGGTGATGGAGAATGGGCACTGGTGAAGGTATCGGTGTTTCATTGTATGACCAAGACTTAAACCCAAGAGCTTTGTAGCTGCTCTCAAAGTGATTCAATAAATAAAATTATAAAAAATGAGAAAAAAAGTGGAGTTCATGCCCAATTCAATCACCCTAATCAGTGGCTGAATAAATAGCAGTACTTCTACATTAATAATAATAATAATAAACAAAGAACAATGATCTAGAGATTCAGAAAGAAAGCTCATGGAGGAGAGTAACAGAACAACATGCTGAAGAGATGCCTCCAGACCCCACGCCAGGCTATCTTAACCAGGGCAACTGGAAGGGGGCTGGGTGAGTTTCCCTCCCTGCCAAAACAGAACCCCATCAGCCAGAAACCTCCAGAACTCACTCGCCACTATGCTTACAATCGCTCTCCACATTCTCAGACGAGCCTCACCCACGAGGGAATCTGCTGCATAATCATATTCTAAATTTTAGAATTCCTGGAGTGCACAGCTGCGAATGCTCTCATACTCTACATCACTGATGTACCAAGAGCGGCACACATTTGATAGGGTTTAACAAATATGTTCGTAATCTCTTGAACAAGGGCTTAATGAAGCTCCAGAATGAAATACAACAATCTTCACACACTTTCCTCTAGGAAACTTTATTGGACTACTTTTAGCGGATTATTTGTAACAAGCAATACAAAATTGTTTCAGTTCTGCTTGGGGAGCATGATTTGGGATTTGGGGTGGAAACATTCGAAATATGGTGGTGGGAAGGTGCAATGGTAGTGGGATTGGTGTTCGAATGTTAAATGGAATGAATTATTGAACAACTTTATAAAAATAAAACTTAAAAAAATATTTCAAGGACTAAGTCTGAAGAGGAACTCAGTTTACATTATAGAATCCCCTGTAGGTACACACACACACACACACACACACACACACACACACACACACACACACCTTTAGAGGCAAAGGAAAATGGAGGAGAATAAAACTGGTTCATCATCTTCATCATCTACTTAGGAAGCAGTAAGAGAATTTCAAAACAACAAAATAAACTTATAAAAAACTGCTTTTAAATAAAACTGCAAATAATTAAATGTGGAATCATCTTTCAAGCAAATGTTGGACAACTTTAAATAGCCCCATGAAAAATAGTGAAATTGTACTGCTATCTTACATCATAGTAAATAATTCAAAATGCATCACGGATCTAAAAGAACTCAAATGGTGCAACTCTTAAAATACAGGAGCATGTATTCCTGACTGTGAATTGGGCACCTTAACCATCTGAAGCATAAGCAACCGAAGAAAAAAATACATCAGTAAGGCTTCACCACAACTTGAAGATTTTGTGCATCAAATGACACCAACAATAAAGTGAAAATAACTCATACAATGAAAAAAATATGCACAACAGCGGTGCTCAAAGAGAAAACCCAGAGATAATGGAGGGACCATGTGGTGCCAGGAATCACATGGGGTTAGCCTCATACAAGGTGGATGCTTTAAACCTTGTACTAGTTCATTGGCCCTCTTCTAAAAACTTTCCTTTATGAAACTGTGAAGTCAATGCCTGGCTGATCCTCACTAGTATTCAGTATATACATGTTCAAGTTGCCATTGCTTTTTCAACTTTTTTTGGGGGGGGGCCACATTCAGCAACACTGAGTCTTTTATTTTTTTCACATACCCAGTTTGAATAAACCAAAACACAAAGAGGATGGTGATTTATTTGGGATAAATTTACTTTGCAGTCACTTAAATGAAACCAGAATATGCAATTCAAATAGTTAATATTTTTTTTAATTCAAGAATATATCAATGTGAGGGTTCACAAGAAAAAACAAAGGAAATTCAAAAAATGAGTAAAGAGAGACACACCCGGCCACCCAGATTTTTCACACTTTCAAACAAATTCAATCCTTAGTTGAGACCTCAGAGAATAAACACACACTCTTCAACCCCAACATGTGAAGAGCACTGAAAAATCAAAATCGATTGACGGAAAGAAACAAAACTGTTGTGGTAAAGAATCTACTATGAGCGGTTTTCATCTTTTGTTTCCTCCGGGGGACATACAGTGCTGGGGGTGAAACCTGCATTCCAGTATGCAAAGCATGTTCCCTGGCCCTTTGAGCCAATTCCTGGGTCCCTGTAATGAAAGGGAGAAACGGTGATTTCTCAGAGAACAATTAAGGAAAAAGAATTTATTGAGTGAGAATTCAAACATATAAACTCAGTCCACTGACTGAACTGCTGCACTTTATTCCTTAAATTTCTTCCCTGAAAGATGCTACACAGAGGCCAGAGAGATAACACAAGAGTTACGGCACTTGCCACTAACACTTGCTGACCCGGGTTTCAGACCTAGCACCTTCAAGCACCACCCAGAGTGACACCTGAGCAGAGCCAGGAATAAGTCATGAACATAGGCAAATGTGGCCTATCATGTCCCCGAATTTTTTTTTTTTTAAAGAGAAGTAAACTCTCTGCCAAGACTAACTCACCCAATTCGGAAAGTTTTTGTAGTGCTTCATTTGACATCCTTCTTAATTATGGAATGTTAATGAAATTGATTGTTTTTCCCTTGGTCTAGTTAAACATGAGCAGGTCATATTAAAAAGGAAGTTTAAAAACTAGTTTAGGAAACAGATAATTAACGAAATGTGAAGATCTAGGGAGGCTAGTTTTCTCTTCTTTGGGAATCCCATTATCCTTTATATAGAATCCTTAGAAGTTCTGTAAACTAAGAAAATAAGCATTTGTCCCAAAAGTTGAATTTAAATTGAGAAATTTAGCAGAATTTAATCTGAGATCCAGCTTCTTTACATTTGGTAAGTGAAAAAGAATACAGCTTGAGTTCTGCCCTTTTGTGGGGAGGAATGAAGAGCATTTTGAAGCAGCAGTGAGGTCCTTGACCTTACTTCCAGGTTCATTCTGTTATTCTGAACGCTTGTACACAACACTCAGAAGATTCTTTTAACAGAGCTTTAAGTAAGTAAAGTAAGTAAAGGCCCTCCCGTTGATCGTCGATTTGCTCGAGCGGGCCCAGTAACGTCTCCATTGGAGACTTTGTTGTTACTGTGTCTGGCATATCGAATACTCTCGGTAGCTTGCCGGGCTCTCCGAGAGGGGCGGAGGAATCGAACTCGGGTCGGCCATGTTGGCCGCTTGTAAGGCGAACGCCCTACCCGCTGTGCTATCGCTCCAGCCCTAACACATAAAATAATGAGCAGGAGTTATAAATTATATTCTCACACTAAATAACTTATAGCAAGTTTCAAATAAAAGAAAATTAGAATATCTTAAGACATTCCATGACCTCTCCCCACAAATATGCATATATGTACTCCAGACATCAAATACACTAAGAGGTTCATATAACTCCCGAAAACTCCGTTAAGAAATCTAAGAAATCTAGATCCCAGACACCGTTTAAAAAAAAAAAATTAAGACAAGACATACCTTTAAAAAAACACATCCGAACTTGCCACTAGGGAGATGGATTAAAGGGCTTGTGCATATGCTTTGCACATGAGTTCCAGGTTCATGCACCACCACATGGTCCTCCACAAAGCACTATAGGAGGACTGGCATGGTGCCAGGACTAACTTAAGAACACTTCCAGGTGACCCCCAAACTAACCCACAAACAAAATAACTAGAATGGCAATACCTTGTTATAGTTACACACAAGTATATAGGTTTTTCAATAAGTATTGCACAGTACTTTATACGACCTGTAATAGCAGAGATATAAATTCCCCCTAAGAATTGGCTGGTATCAAGGCTGGAGAGAACAGACTGGAGCACAGGCTTTGCTTGCAGGAGACCTGGGTCCTACCCACGGAACCACATGATCCTGAGTACCACACCAAATGCAACTTCTGAGTACTGAGTTGGGAACAGCCTGAGTGATGGCTGAGTTTGGCCCCAAAACAAAATAATCTGGAGTATGAGATAGCTCAATGAGTTGTAGCACAGGGTTTTCATGCTGGAGGCGCAGACTTGGTTCCCTAGCGTCACATGCTATCTGAGTGATCCTTGAGTACCACTGGATATGATCCAAAATTTAAAATAAAAAAATAGAAACAACAAAAACCCCGTAAGAATGTAGTTAGGAGCATTAAAACCCTTGGAAAAATCAAATACAGCAAGAATTACTGTCTATCCCTAAAGGCTAGCTGTCTTACTCAAAAAAGCCTTTAGTCATCAACAAAACTAAAGTTCCTAACATAGATGAATTCTAGATGCATGAAAATATCAAAGTAGGGATGCTCATAAATTCAATTCTATATCAAAACTGAAAATAGTTTTTACAGTTAAATCATTTGAACTCAGTTAAGTGTCATATAATATAGAATAGAATATTTGTACAAGTTAGCATGTGGCAGGAGCAGCTTATAAAATCTGTAAAAGTCAAGACTAGTAAACCAGTGGTACATAGAAAATTATTAAAGTAAAATTTACCTGAACTCAATAGCTCAATAAAGTAATCTCAATAGCTCAAGTTGCTAAACTACATTTACTGGAGTCTGATTACGAATCTAGCACTGCATTATCACTTTCACACAAAAAAGAATGTGCTAGAGGGCTAGGGACATAGCTCACCTATAGGGTATAGAGCATTCACCCACCTGTATGAGGATCTAGGTTTAAGCCCACATGTGCTCTAGATATTTCGGGGGCCAGGGGGAGTCTGAGAGTTAACATTTGACAAAATGTACTCTAAACTTATCAAATACTTTAAACTTAACAAATGTACTAAGATTTTTTTCAAACTTTGCAGTAAATACTACATTATGTATAGGAAAATAACTCCCCAAATGCCACAGTCCTGAAGAACAAGGACATCAAGATGTTCTAAGCAATTTCCTGAACAGCAGGAAATGAAAGGCTGGAGATGCTGAGTTTTTGATCATTTCACTTTTTTTCCTGAATAGGCTGACTCATTATTAACTGATGAAAGATAACACCCAATATTAAAAACTAAAATCTAATGGTTCTACTGGCATGATTGTCAGTTAAGAAAAAAGTTCATTTGCTTCCCTGGTTTACAGAGAAAAAATCCACTTCAGAACTACATAACTTATTTTACTTTATTACCACTAGTTGCAGGAAGCTGCTTTACTGAGTCAAATAACTATATACTCTAAGGCAGCACTGTTCCCAATTTCATACTGGTGAAAAATGTTTTCAGTTACAAGGGGGACATGTTTCTTTTTTATTTCAACAGCACATTCAAATGACTGAATTGTATAAAAATATGAGATGTTCTAAAGTCCATCATGGATATTTTCTTCTAAAAAACAACAAGACTACTTCTAAGTATAATTTAACTGAAAACACTAATTCGACTTCAAATTTATTTTAATGATATGTACAGGAGTTAACAAATTACAATTAAAACGGAATCAGTTATGTTAGTTCTACATAACTTAAAATCATGCAACACTGCATGGTAAAAACGACAGTTTTGTTCATATACAAAAGGATATTATTTAAAACTCATGACAGTTATCTTGATATTTCTGACATAAGCTTTTCGTAAAGAGTGATTTTTTAATGTAAAGACCTGATTAATCAGTTAATGCATTATTAGGAAAGATAATAAACATTATTAGTAAAGTGAGGTTACAAGCAATTAATTTTAAAATTACACCAGGTACAGGGTTGAATGTAGTCTCATGAAATAAACACTTCATTAAGAAAATAGTTCTGAAAAAGATCTCATGTTGAAGCTATGTATTAATTTCATCAAATCAGATGATATAAATCAATACTCAAGTTTATTCAGTTAAAGAAAATATGCCTATCCTTTCTTATACTCATAAATAAGTACTTAGTCTTTATATACAATTGAAAAGTTCAAGGTAAAAAATATACTGCCAATCCACCTACTATGGTTGAAAGAGGTCTTTATCTACACATTAAATTGCATTGATGTAAAATGTCCAATTTAAATCACATTCAACCAGCATAAATATTTAAGCTAAATATTATTGTAAACAGCAGAGAAAAACATATTTTTTTAAATCATCACTGGGTAACAATCTAGTTCTCAGTTTAGACTGCTATATAGAAAGATTCAATATTTAACCAAATCCAAACCCCACTAAACTAAGAGTAAACAAAGTGAATGTTTTCCAAAGTGCGTAATTTCCAACTCATCCACTTGTAGTTTTTTTTTCATCCAATTCCAGTTCATTAGCAAGAAAATAAAATGTACTTAGCTATAAAAATACTAAGGAATGTTATTGAAAAGGAAAGGCTATTTGGTAGAAGTAACTACAAAAATAATTAGTTTAAATCTTTGTAAAGCTTTAATGCAAGAATATCAGTACACTTTCTTTCCACAAACTTTAAAGCATAATCAATACCAAGATTTTAAATTTCCACCTTTCAAAATTTTGAAAGAGTTGCAACAAAATGTCTCTTAAAAAATTAAGCAAGATGATCAGGCAGGTGTTAATCTGCTGACACTTGGGGACACTGGTGTCTGTGCTGGGTTGTCATCTCTGACTCCACTGGCTGCATGTCCAGGCAAGGAGTTACTCTGAAAGGCAGATGTCGGACAACTGGTCATGCCAACATTCTCATCTTCCCCAGTGTCTGAATCTGGTGTTGTAACTTCGCTTTCCTGAAGTCCCAGGATCTCACAAACTGCTTGTGGCAATTCCTAAACAAGAAAAACCAAATATAAAAACTATGCTGTCTATAAAACAAATAGGATTAAATCAAACCAAAATGCTTCCAAGGAATAAGTTTCATTAAAACAGAAAGACAGCCTATTGAATGGAAGAAAACATTTGCACACCATAGATCTGACAAAGGGTTAAGCCATAAAAAGAATTCACACAATAAATGAATTAACTCAATAAAAGTCAGTAACAGGGGCTGGAGTGATAGCACAGAGGGTAGGGCGTTTGCCTTGCATGCAGCCAACTCGGGTTCAATTCCCAGCATCCCATATGGTCCCCTGAGTACCACCAGGAGTTATTCCTGAGTGCAGAGCCAAGGAGTAACCCTTGTGAATTACCGGGTATGACCCAAAATGAAAAAGAAAAAAAAAGAAAAAAAGTCAGTAACAGAAAAGCAATAACCCCGTTCAAAAAAATGAGAATTGCCGGCGCATATGCTGCCTGAGCCCATGTGTGCTTACGCCCACATGGCTGAGCACATGTGTCACCCGCATCTCTCCCCTCTTGAGATGTGTACTTTCATGCTTTCGTGTCTAACTTCTCTCTCTCTCTCTCTCTCTCTCTCTCTCTCTCTCTCTCTCTCTCTCTCTCTCTCTCTCCCCCCCCCACTCCACACCTTAAAAATCCTCCAAATAAAATCTATTTTATTTCAAAAAAAAAAATGAGAATTGCCAAATAGACTCCTCCCCCAAAGAGGACATACAAATGGCAAACAGGCACATGATAAAATACTTATTATCATTTATTACCAGGTAAAAGCAAATCAAAACACTGATGAGGCATCACCTTACACTATTGAAACTGGCCCATATACAAAGGACCAAAAACAGTACATCATGATGAGGGTATGGGAAAAAGAACCCTTTACTTGCAGTTGGTAGAAATGTAAACTAACTCAGTTTCAATGGAAAATAATACATATGTTTCTCAAATAATTAAAAACAAAACTACCCAATGATTCTGCAATTCTACTCCTAGGCATAGATCCATAAACTCAAAATCACAAGTTCAAAATTACAGGTTCTAATCTGGATTCATTAAACCAATTGGGTAATTTATCAAGCACTATAGCACTGTAGTCACGTTGTTCATGAATTTTCTCAAGTGGGCACCAGTACCATCTCCATTCATCCCTGTAGCGTGCTAGTGTAGCCCAATGGCATCTGCTTGCTCCAAGAACACGAAGTGAGACTTCTTGTTACTGTTTTTGGCATATCGAATACACCACAGGGAGCTTGCTAGGCTCTGCCATATAGGCGGGATACTCTCGGTAGCTTGCTGGGCTCTCCGAGCGGGACGGAGGAATCGAACCCGGGTCAGTTGTGTGCAAAGCAAACGCCCTACCTGCTGTGCTATCGTTCCAGCCCAATTTATCAACGCTTACTTAAATTTCTACAGACACTCAGGTTGTCACAAAAATATTACTTTCGTCATATGTCTTAGGTTTTCTATCTTCCAAAATTAATCATTGGTTTTCAATTAAATGCTGTAAATCAAATGTTAGCCAAAACTTTGTGTCAGTTTATTCTCAATAAAGCTGCCATTTTAATACCACAAAGAAAAATTCCTAACTTCAACAAACCAAAACTATGCAAAAAACATTTCAATTATTTAAGATTGTATACCTTGCATTTTACCATCTGTAGAGAAATTGCCTCAGCCTTGCACAGTACATCTTCCACATCAATTTTCATGGACAATTCATTGATATGCTAAAATGAACAAAATAAAATGATAACCAAAACAGAAAGCTCTACTAAATCCTACTAAACAATTTATTACCAATTATGTTTCACTGCAGATAAAAATCCTTTAAAAAAATATCTGCATATTACAAATAAAAGGAAATTCAAAGTTTTAAAACTAGCAAATAGCTCATAAGCTTATGGAACATTAAGTGCAGCAGCTGTTTAAGAACATGAGGACTGATATTCAGTAGGAAACATGTCATTGGAGAGGGCTGGGGATAGGACAGGAAGGGGCAACATCTGGTGAAGGGAACCTTTTGACCTGGAGAAGGAGGTGGTGCCTGCCGAAAGGTGGTCAAGTGTTATGTTTGAAACCCTGTCAGCAGCAGTACTGTAAACGACAGTGCAAAACACACACACATATACATATAGTGCCTCCCACAGAAGCGGACTGATTGGGAGGGTGGGGCGCGCAAAGGGTATGTTTGGGGATAGGAGCTTGGTGAAGGAAGTGGACACTGGTGAAGGCACCAGTGCTAAAGCATTATATGAACCATTATATGCCTGAAACCCAACTATGTAACCCAACCTTGTAATTTCTCAGTGACTAAAATTAAAAAATAAAAAGCAGTATCTGTTTAAAAAGTATAAGCAAAACAAAATTATTTTCTTAGATAAAAATCCATCTGCTGAGTTTCCTTTTCTTATTAAGCAGCCAGATAAAAATAACTGGCCAATATGTATTTGTTGAACTGTCAGTCAGTCAGTGCTCATACTCTGTTACTGATATCACTCAAAGGATTCAATAAAGTGCCAAGGAAATGTTTCAGCATTCAAACAAACGGAGCAAAACAGTCAAAATTACTTTTGAAATCCAAATTTAATAAGTTACCTTAAGTATTTCATTAAAGCCATAATGCTTTTCCATTATTTGCTGTTTTTCTGATTCCAGAATAGCACAACAAATAAGAAGATGGAAGTTTTTACATGGCAGTTCAGTCCACATTACCTATCAAAAGAAAAGAACAACTAAGTTGGCAAACTTATACTGATACTAAACTACTTTCCTCAGATGCAATGCTGAACTTCGAATGACTGACTGTTCTACAGAGGAGATGCTGCCTAGTGGAGCAGTCTACTATTTTCCTACTTGGGAAATGAGGGGGAGGGAAGAAAAATCTTACCTTTATCTACAAAGTAACTAAAATCCACTAAATGAGAGCCTGATGTAATCTCAGTATAGCTCTTTAGGTAACCATGGTAAGCAAATCACTGCACCTAACCTGTATGATAATGGCATTAAGCTGCCACAGCGATAAGCTTTAAGGTTGATGGGTTAGAGGTCTTTTCCATCTGTTTCTGAACTTTCAGTTCTTCACTTTAAAATGTTTGAGCAATAGCTTCATTTCTTTCTAAATCTAGGTAATGCCATCAAAGTTAAGGCCTTAATTTACCCCTGGTTAATGTACCTAACATCTTTCCTAAAAAGCCAAAGGAAAAAAAGAATTGAGAGGCTAACTGAACAAAATTGTCAAACTTTAAAATATGATCCCATCTCAAGAGTATGTAGTAACATGAATTTCAGGGTCAAGGACACCAATACAAATGGCAGAATGCATGACGGCACCGAGAGCCCCTGAACATGCGGGCAGTCCATGAGCAGCACCAGAGTGCCTGGCCAGAGGTGATCAGAAATAAACAAAACAAAACAAAGTGATCGTTATTTCCCGTTTTGAACAGGGGTAGTGACTCTTCACAGAGCGACAATCCTTCAGTCAGCATGAAGTCTCCTCTAACAGTAACACAGCTGCCAAAAAGACAGGAATCAACTTTCAACCAAGAAAACCTCAGATGACACTGGGGGACCAAATGGATTATCTCCCGACTCTTTCATCGGGAGAATTTCTGCAATAGCTGATTTGCATGATTATAAGACAGTGATCAATGATTTTATGCCAATATTCCATTGTGAAAGCACACTGAGATCTTGTAATAATAAATATCTGAGAATAATAATTTTGTTTTTCATTAAGAGTTGCTCTATGTTGAGGCCGAAGAGATAGTATAATAGATAAAGCCTTGCACATGGCTGACCAAAGTCTGGTCCCCTGAGCACAACCAGGAGTAATTCCTGAGTGCAGAGCCAGGAGTAACTCTTGAGCATCACCCAGTGTGATCAAAAAACCAAAACCAAACCCAAAAAAGTCACCCTAGATGGAAAATGAAAAAATGGATATAGACCAAAATCATCGTCACAAATATCTGCTAGTATAGGGATGAAGAAAAGGAGCTCTACTTTTCTTCTTTTAGTACAAGAGAAAAGAACAAACAAGAAGTTTAAAGGCAGAAATGTTTACATATTCCAAATATGTATGGTAGGATTTTTGTTATTTTATATTCAGCTTTAACTTAAATTTCTTTATTTAAAAAGAAAAAGACAAGAGGGATTGCTTCTATTTCAACTGATAAATTGATGAAATTGATATAACTGATAAAAGCTGAGTGGCATCTCAGCTTTTACCAATTTATACCACATGGAACTCTGTACCAGAACATGGATTCAGATGGAGTCAGTCTCTCATGACTGGAGCACAGTTGCGAGTGTCTGGAGCCAGAGCTTTCAAGCGCCAGTTTGATGGCAGAAAACCCCTGACATGGAGTCTCACTTCTGGAAACTGTGGACACAGCTACATGTGGGGCTGTCTCACCAACTGAATGTGAGAACTGAGAAAATTCTGGCAACAGTCAAAGGTTTCTGCACATACAAGGATGAGAAATTCATTCAGAATCAGCCATACGATGAATTCAATGAATTTCTGGCAGCACTTGTCCATACTGTGTTTCTCAGGCAGAAAGAAGCTAATGGAAAAAAGTGTAGAGAAGTCTCTGGTGGAGAAGCTGTTTGGGAAACTCACTAGTTCCAACTTTCATAGAGATTATGATTTATAAAAATGAACTTCAAGGGATTGGTGGGGGTAGGATGCCTTCCTTGCATGCGGTCACCTGGGATTCAATGCCCAGCACCCCATATGGCCCCCAGAGCTCAACCAGGAATCAATCAGAAGTAACCACTGAGCACTGCCAGGTGTGACCCAAAAAAAGTGCTACCAAAAAAACAGATAATTAGCTCAAGATCATTACTCTTTAGGGAAAAAACACAAAACTGAGAATTCTAGGAAATTTCAAATAGGTTGTGATAATACAATTTCTTTTCCATAGAATAGGTTCAATCCATAACAAATACATTTGCATAACAATTTAAGAACTTACCTCCCATAATCGAAGAATATCTAGAAAACTAAATTCCCTTTTAAATCTTATTAACAGCCATCTGAAGCAAAAGTAAAGGTATCCAGAGTCCTGAGATTCTAAACAAAGAGAAAAATGTGTATATATGGTCAAGACTAATTTCTTAACACAGAGACATTTCATTTATCAATTTCCTATGCATCTTAAGCTATTAAAATTGAACATGTTTGGTCTATGGCCAGGGAAAACAGGGGTTAGGAGGACTACTCAACGGTTGGAACTAACCACAAGTGTGTGTGTGGGGCTGAGGGTTGGTAAGAGAGACAAGAAATCAGTAGGACAATAGCAGCTGTGAATGATCATGCTGGACAAGATTTGAGGGTTAAAAATAGGTAAAGGGATTTTCTTGATAACTTTTCAGTATCAATATTGCAAACCACAATGAGCCAAAGCGGGGATAGGGGGTTGAAGGAGGGAAGGTAGTAGGGAGGGGGGAGAGAGAGGAGAGAAGGAGGGAGAGAGAGGAAAGGAGAGAGGGAGGCAGGTGGTGAGGGGTAATGAGAGGGAACCTGGGGACACTGGTGCTAGGAAATGTACACTGGTGGAAGGGTGGAATATGTATATGAATATTGGAATATGTATGACTGAAATACAATCATAAACAGCTTTGTAAGTGTCTATCTTACAGTGATTCAATAAGTTTTTAAAAATTGTATTATTTGTGGCTGGAGCAACAGTATAATGGGTAGGGTGTCTGCCTTGTAAACCCTACAGTCCAACCCAAGTTTGATTCCTGGCACCCCAAATGGTCTTTCGAGCCCACTAGGAATGATCCCTGAGCACTAAGCCAGTAGTCCTGCAGGGTGTGGTCCCAAAACAAACCAAAAAAAACAAGGTATTTATTTGCCTTCTACTAAAAGTCTCCAATGGAGACGTTACTGGGCCCGCTCGAGCAAATCGATGATCAACGGGAGGGCCTTTACTTTACTTTACTTTTAATTCAATCAAACAATATTATGAATAAACATTTTAAAGCAGAATTAATACAAACACAATTTGGTGCCCTATTTTTTTGGGGGGATGGGGTTCTAAACCAACAGTCCCATACAATAACAATAGAGTATCTACATATTTTAAATAGTTCTTTACATATTCCCTTATAATGCATTCCAACCTGCTGGGTAGTTTCATTCATTATACCTACCTAAATAACTGCAAAATCCACTGTCCAACAATCGAAGTAAAGTACTTAGCTGAATTAATTGGGTTTTCATGCCTTGCATTTGTTCTTCAAAATTCTGATGCTTTAAAAGGAAATAAATATAAGCATATAAGTAAAATTTAATAAATGTTATATTATAGCAGTACCTGAAACATGAAGCTTAGGACAAATATTTGCTTATGTAAAAAAAACAAAAACAAACAAATTTAGGACTGGAGAGATGGTACAACAGGTATGACACCTGCCTTGCATGTGGCCAACTTAGGTTTGATCCTAGGCGTCCCAGATGATCCCCCAAGCAATACCAAAAACAATTCCTGAGTGCAGAAGTAACCCAAGCTTCGCTGGGTGTGACCCCTCCAAAAACATAACTAATTAAAAAGCTAAAGAAATAATGAAGAGATAGGGAGAAAATCCCTTGGTCTCAAACCAACCATTACTTTTTCTCTCCAGTCATTTTAGATAAAGAATGCAGAGATAGAATAAAAATGATAACATTTGTGTCAAATAAGAGACAAGTGAAAGGGGCACACATTAGGAAATAAGCTTTTATCAAATCACTTCCATTAATATTACTTCAAATTATCAAATGAAATTAACTTTAGTTCTAATATGTATCCATCACATTTTTAAGGATTATTTCTTCAATTTTCTGACATTGGGGAATCTGTAAAGTTAAAGTGCTTTCATTACAATAAGACATTATATGCATTTTGCACTTTAAATTCTCCCACAAGTGTAAAAGCTATATGATGTGTGATATTGCAATAGACTGAATATGAGCACAGATATGAAAACCCAGCTGTCTTCTATTAAACTAGACATTAAAGAAAATTGAAAATGGAAAACAATCCCCCCCTTGCTCAGTAAATTAATTTTTTTGTCTTGGAAGTTACTTTTCATTAAAAAATGTTACATGCATTCATGGCTAACACGTTTGTAACTGTTCTAAAAATAATATTTATACATTTCTCATACTAATTATCTGTACGATAAAAAGCCATAAAACCCACATAAAGAAAAGCCTGTTTTTAATAAATATATATTTTATATATTTAAATAGAAAATATTTTTTAAATATTCAAAGGGGTAAATGGGGCCCCGAACCCAAAAAGTTCAAAAAATATATGATTTACATGTTTTAATAATCTTCAAAGTTGAATAAACTCAGTCAAATGGAACAGGAAACCACCAAAACAATCAGTTTGAAGGCTCCTGGATGATTCTGGTCCCTTTAATGCATGTGCCAACCCTTTGTGGTAGCCTATATCCTTAACACTTCTGAAAAGTCTAAGGAAAATATACTCCCCTCACACCTGACTTTTAGTTTGAGAGATAAAGGTGCATTATTAAATTATCAAATAAGTTATCAAATTAAAGACGATATTCAATTAAATGTTATTTTACTGACAGACATTTGAAGAGCTACATATTCTCAATTAACTGGTTTTTCTTTACTAAGTTCAGAAACTAATTTAGTTAACATGCTGTTTTGAAATGTAATTTATTCATATTTGTCATAAGGATCCGTAGAAGAAGGTTCTTTGGTTGACAGGATAACTGTTAGAGTGGCATAACCAAAGGCTAGATCTGGTATGGAAATAGCTGTATACTACAGTAAATAACATAGTATAATCATAACAATCCACTCTATGCTAGAGCACTCCAAAATGACAGCAGCCAACTTCAAAAGAGTACCTACTCCTGTGAAAAGGGAAATGAGACCGACGGTAGGCATACATAGATTATAAATGAATATACATGTACATGCATATGTGTGAGAACGGGGGAGAAGGAAGATCAAACTAGACTACATGGCGAAATAGATGAGTATACGAAAGTTCGTCAGGTCATCTTGCAAATATTTTTATAACAGGCAAAGTTTATGCCTCAGCCTACTTCAATATTAATATCAACAAGAAGATTAGTCTCAACCATGAAAAAGGACGAACTTACATGAAATTAAACTGTAAAACAAAAAGGAGTCCAAGAGCATCAGTGCAGATTCAAGGACATCCAAACAAGAGCCAGGCAATGGTAAATAATCAGATTATTTGGACTGCAACATATTGACCTTTCTTTCAAATATTATGAAAAACATTTCAGTAGACAATATATTAGGAAATCCTTTTAGAATAAAGACTAGAAAAATCCCCAACCCATCCTATATGGGGAAGGTGGAACACAAAGAACATTTATGTACTATGATAAAGACAACACAAAGAACTTGACGCATCATACACAAAAATGACAGACTAAATACCTGTTACGGATGTACAGAAAGCAATTTTTATATTTGAGACTTAAATACATGCACATAATTAGGCTTACACATATGTATTTTCCATAAGCCAAGAATCTATTTAAACATCAAATATTACCCTCAATTCTATGAAAATCATTTTTTGGAAATCTACTTGTAATATATTCATGTTAATTCTTTTGGAATACCTACAGAGGTCTAAATTAAGCACTGGGGAAATATTCATGTGTTTATTCTATAAAAATTGACTAAGAACCTTATGTCAGTTCTTACAGGAAAGTTCACTAAGAAAATTCAAGAAGCACAGGAGAGAACTAGTTAAACAAATTGCATGGTGCCTATATTAAGAATCATACCAGCTTTAGTGTAAAAAAAAAAGAATATCACAAAGAAAGCAGACAACAGTTTGTATATATTTAGTATTAGCTGTACAGATCTTAGAACAATGCCATGAGATTCCTAGAGCAGTTGGAAATAATTGGAACTAAGAAGGCAGGTAAAGTCAATCAATGAAAACAGCAAAGACAATCTGGTTATTACCAGATTAGGGAAGTTAATAATCCTTCCAAAGTATCTAAAATCATTAAGTCAGGTAAGAGACTAAGTAATTTGAGTATTCAGTAATTCACTTAGTAAGAAGAACATTTTTAAACTATCAAATCTTATAAAACATACGTTTTAAACATACATTTTTTAAAAGAACTAAAATTATGTGAATTCATGGATAAAAGAACTTGGGGAAATGGACAAAAGTGAGAAAAGTTAAACGGGGATAAAAATTAGCAAGAGTAGCACTGTAGTACTGTAGCACTGCTGGCCGGTTGTTCATCGATTTGCTCGAGCGGGCACCAGTAACATCTCCATTGTGAAACTTGTTACTGTTTTTGGCAAGCTACCCTTGATGTATCGAATACATAGGCTTTGCCATGTGGGCAGGATATCTGCTGGACTCTCCAAGAGGGGCGGAGGAATTGAACCCGGGTCAGCCACATGCAAGGCAAACGCCCTACCCAATGTGCTATCACTTCAGCAAGAGTAGAAAAAAAAATTTTTTAAACTACTGAATTCAATATGTGCACCCCTTCAACTGAGTTGAACACTATTAAAAGGTGACATTTTATACTACCACATACTCAAAACCTTTCTCCCCCTTCCACCTAAGCCATTTCAATATCTGACACCAAGGGCCAGCATCAAACATATTGGTTTTATTTTTAAACAGTACTGTGACCTAAACAGTCTGATCTTTGAAGCTCATCTGCTTTATCTTCTCTTACACCCGCTCCCTTTTTTTCCCTGAGAAATCAACTGAAAAGACTGTTCTGTATTATTTCCCTGCTAATGCTCTCTCTGTATTATTGTCCTAGAACCACCTCTGCAGTACACCAACGATAATAAAATGTTTTTGTATGAATGTGTATATACGTAGCTCAACTCTAATAAATCACATGCTTCAGAGAAAATAAGAGTGAATCACTAAGAAAGTGTTAGTATTACAAAGAGTTCAAACACATTCAAACACACTTACTATTAATGACAAAAACCCAAAATGTTCACAAAGGTTGAAGAGATTAACTGGCATGACTAAGCTTTATTTCTGAAACAGATGCTACAAAAGCTTAACTACTTCATGAGAACTGAATTCATTATTTCCTCAATTTTTTTAAAATATAAAAACATGGTAAGAGTCTAATTCCCAAGAAAAGTAGAAACAAGTACTGGGAGGTCTGGTCCATGGTTGGAAGCTTGCCAGGAATGGTGTGTGTTTGTGGTGGGGGGTGGGGGTGCAGTTAGGATAGAGAAAGGACCTCATGACAATACTTGGAAATGATTACTCTGGACAACAACTAAATGCTGAAAGTAGATATAGAGACGAACATGACAACCTTTCGGTTCTGTAACTGCAAACCATAATGCTGGGAAAAGGGGTAGGGAGGGAGAGGGAGAGAGAAGAGAGAAGAAGAGAGAGGGAGAGGGGAGGAGAGGAGTGGAGGAGAGGAGGGAAGAGGGAGAGGGGAAGGAGAGGGAGAGAAAGAGGAGGGAGGAGGAAGGGAAGGGAGAGGAAGGGGGGAGAAGGGGGAGAAGTGCCCACCACAGAGGAAGGTAGAAGAGAGGGGAGTGTGGCTGGAGGGAAACTGAGGACACTGGTGTATACTGGTGAAGAGGGGGTGTTGGAATACTTATGACGGAAACTGAATCAAGAACAATTCTGTAACTGTATATCTAAGGCAATTGGATAAGAAAATTAATAGAAAAGAACCCCCCCAACAAAGTTTTCTCTATAAAGACTCATAACTCTTCTGCAGAACATAAGCATTAACATACAAGAACAATAAGAATAAGAACAACATTAAATCAGACTATTCCCAAACTATAAAATTATACACACCAACTTTTTCTATTAAAAACAATGCCAGTATTTCCAAGCATCTAAAAGACAATTCTAACACAGAAATAGAATAATTTTAAGTTTGTTCATCAACCTTAACTGTAAGATAAAACTTTCAAAACTGGTTTGATGAAAGGGCCCGTTCTTACCATTTGGTCCATGTAGGAGGCAAAGCACCAAAAGGCATCCACTTCATTTTCCATCACATATAAAAGAGGGGAAAGTAAGTCACTCATTCCTTGTACGTATCCTAAGAATTTAAAAAAAAAAAAATCAAGTATCTGAAAACCTAAGCTTTATGTGCATGTCGTATCTTCTGTGCATGTCATCACCACTTAAAATCACTCCTTTCCTGGAAGATAAGGAAGTAGCACTGTAGCACTGTTCTCCCATTGTTCATCAATTTGCTCAAGCGGTCTCCATTGTGAGACTTGTTGTTACTGTGTTTGGCATATAGAATACGTCATGGGTAGCTTGCTAGGCTTTGCGGTACGGGCAATATACTCTCGGTAGCTAGCCAGGCTCTCCGAGAGGGGCGAAGGAATTGAACCCGGGTCCACCGGACCAATTGCAAGGCAAACACGCTACTGCTGTGCTATAAATTTAGAGGAAAGTCTATAATCACCTAAACAAGAGAAGTTATTTAGGGGAAAAGTCAAGCAGATACATTTAAGCTAACTAATTTGGCAAGATGCTACTATTCAGAGTAGCAATGTTATTGCAAAAGAAGGTGCAAAAGCATTACAAGAAAAAAAACAGAAATGACAACAGCAAACATCCAATGTAAAAGCATGGACTCAAAGGAGATTTGAAAGGAAGTCAAAGAGGTATGGGAAAGTCCCAAAGGAACAGTGTTGGGGGGGGGGGGGGAGGAGAGAAGAAAACAAAGTTACAAGGTCAGAGTTGTCAACAGCATCCAACCCTATCAGTAAGTGAAGGAAAGTTAAGATCTGGCAAGGGGCCAACTACTGCAGGAACCCGGATCACTGGTACTCTCAATTAAAGGAGTCTACACAAAATTGTGTGCCTCTTTTAAATATTCATTACTGTGGTCTTCCCTTTTCTTGGTAAAAATAGAACCTAAAATAATAAGACCCTTCCCTTAAAATTTTTTCATTTTTGCTTTTCACTAAACATACTAATTGTTCATTTTTTAAGCTCCAGTTTATAAGACCATCAGTTTTCTTAATTATTTTACAATTAGATTTCACACATAGGACAGAGATGCATGGTTCCCTCCCTTCCTCAAACCAAGGGTCCAAGACATGCAGGTAAGCACTCTACTGAACTATATTCTGTGCCCAAGACCCAGATTCTTGAACCCCAAAAATGTTGAGTTCATATTCAAACTTTTTACATAGATACTGTTTAATTTTGGTAATTTCTGTATGTTAATAATGGTGGAATCTTGGGTAATCTGTGGAAAAAAGTTTTTCATGTATATATCCGAACCCATATGTGCTCATAGCATTCATCTAAATCTCTATGTACAAAAGCAATTTAAAGAGTACCTATTTAAAGAGGGGGAGGATATTTCTACTAAAAATGATATACAATTCTGTAAGGAAACTTAAAAAATTAGCCCCAAAAATATGCACAGCAAAATCACAAAAGAAAAATCAGATCAACTGTATAGTAGTGGGGCAGAGAGTTCAAACACCTTAAGGATTTTCTTATGTAAAATTTTGACACCTGCCCCAAGCCTATGTCCTATCATCTACTGCGGTCTATTCCCTGTCAACCTTACTCTGGTGACAGAAAAAGTAGTTTTAGAAAAGTGAAATGTATGCCTTGTCTGGGATTTGTTCCCAACCCCCAGCACAACAGAAAGGCCCCTGCAGTTTTGTTGTTTCTGTTTTTTTTTAAAGTAGTTTTACTGTAGTTAAGGGACTGGAGCAATAGCACAGTGGGTAGGGCATTTGCCTTCCACGCGGCCTAGCCAGGTTCAATTCCTCCGTCCCTCTCAGAGAGCCCAGCAAGTTACTGAGAGTATCCCACCACACAGCAGAGCTTGGCAAGCTACCCATGGCGTATTCGATATGCCAAAAACAGTAACAGTAAGTCTCACAATGGAGACGTTTCTGGTACATGCTCAAGAAAATCAATGAACAGCGGGAGGATAATGCTACAGTAGTTACAGACCACTGGGTTCCCATGTCAGATACCCAGTTGTAACAGCACTAGACAATGGAATTACTAAGATACTTGAAGAAAAGTTTCAAGAAAAAAAAACCCAAAAAATGAAAGGGGTATGTGACATGAAGTTAAAAGGTAATAAGAGCATTTTAACAAACATATTGCAGATGTTGCTGAACATAATGCACACCTGAGAGGAGATAAGCTCAGCCCAGCAATCTCCAGCATAGCACATGGTTCCCAGCCCTGCCAGCTGTGACTCATGCGCTCAGAGCCAGGAGTAAGCCCCGAGAACTGTTGAGGGCGGCCCAACAACCAAAAAAGAAAAAAAGGAAAAAACAAATTTCAATGTGTATATGTAATCTTAGTAGTTCTGTTTCTCTGGAGTCTATAATACAAACTTAAGAAAAGAATTTAAAAAATGGAAGAAAAACTTAGATATCTGTCACCAAAATTTACCAATACAGGAACACATAGTAAAAACACTGAAAAACATAAAAACTAAACCAATTAAAGCATAAAGGAAACCTGATCTAATTTACTGCATTACATCTATAATAGAAATATGTTAAACTATCATTAAAGTATAAAAACTTTATACTCCAACAAAACAACACCTTCATCTGAAAAAAAAAAACCCAAAATAACTTTTTAATATAGTTAGGATGAAATTAAGGCATAAAAATTTAGAAGGTATAAAAATTTTAAAAAACTAATCCTTTAAGTCTTCAGATTACATATGGAATCCCTTCTATATTTCTCTGAAAGTCGTAGCTGAAGCAAGTAGTTGAATTAATCTTCATATTCTGGTTGCTTTAAATCTGTTTTATTTTATACATGATGTTCTTTGGTATATGCCATCAGTTGTGGGAATGAAATTAATGTACAAATTCCTTTTAATTAAAGATTAAGCTGTCTTAAATTAGCATTCAAGATTCTCTACTACTGCTGACTGATGCACATCTTAATCAGCACTACTATAGTTTCTGAAGATGTTCATAGAAAATTTGTAGGAAAACAAAAGAACTTCTGCTCATCCTAGTGTATATCTAGTTTAAAAACTTAAAAAAATTTTTCTTTCATCTACATAAAGGTCAGTTTTCAGGTTAACTGAAGTTTTTAGTTAATCAAACAGAAAAAAAACACTGTAGGAGTGAAATTATTATTTTATTAGCATCTTTTTCCAGTACATATAGTACTGAAAAGTAATTTAACATTTTATTGGCCATAGGTCTTTTGGTGTTTTTTTTTTTTTGTAGGCATGGTGGTTTTTTTTTTTTCCCCCTTTTTTCTGGAGGGGGGTGGTTCCCAGGGAGATACCCTGGCTTGGTGATCAGAGGCACTGTTTCCCCAGCAATGCTTGGGGGACCATGTGATGCTGGAGATTGAGGCTAGACATCCTACAGACAAAACATGCTCCCAGCCCCCTTTACTGGTAATAGAGGGTCATCATAGTGAATATACTCTAAAAGAATCAGGCACCTTGCATAGAAACACACTGAGATGTGCCTCTGAACTAAAAATTACTAACCTTCCCTTTAATTTTTCTGCTCATTTTTCAATTTTTTGTCTTTTGTTTGTTTTTGATCATTTCTGACCCCTTCCAAACCATTAATGAACGTACATTTAGTGCAAATACTTTTATCTACAGGGTAAGAAGCCAAACAATTCAATGAGAATAAATGAATAGACAAAATTGACAGGTAATATAGGTCACTGGTAGAGTGTACACTTGGAATGTCTAAGGCCCTTGATCAGACACACACACACACACACACACACACACACACACACACACACACACCCTCTATTATATGACTTACACACTGGTAAATTTCAATTCTAAATAAACATCAATATATTTTTAATTACAACTTGAGAGGAGAAGAACATACCTAAATCAAAATCATATACTGGTAAATTTCAATTCTAAATATACATCAATATTTAATTACAACTTTAGGAGAGAACTTACCTAAATCAAAATCATACATACAATAGGTCATCAGAATGTCATGAAGCAAAATCAACCCTGGATTATCTTGGCCTTCATAAAATTTGTTTGTTCGATCTGTTCTGTTAACATCTTTTTCTGAGGAGAAAATTATCATACATTTGAATTATCTTTCAAATAGCGTATGTTCAAAAGTTTGTTAAGACTGTAGTTTGACTGCTTTGCAGTGGGTTTATACTCGTGCACAGTATCAGGAGCAGAGCTTCATAGCCCTCACCACCAAAGCTCTCATACACCACACCACGGTTTCTCTCACACCTTCCCTTGGCCCACTGGGAGTCTCCAATTTTTCAGAGTCTATGAGTTCTGTTCTACAAAATCCAGATTTTTATAATGCTCACATTTTTAAAACACAGAATTACTTCCCCGCTATTAATTTTATTCTTTTGCCAAGCTTTACTTAATGAAAATAATTCATCAAATTCCATTTCAGAGTTGGAGTAAAATAACATTTTGGACTATTTTTCAAAATGCAGTCCAACTCCTCATGGGTATTTTAAAGTATTTTTCAATTTTTATCTCAATATAGACATCTTCTAATTAAATAGTAGGAAACATTTTAATTAATTAAAAACAACACTAAGTAATAATTCACTTTAGTTCACAATAAAAATGCCAGTCATGAAAGCATGTGATAGGCAGTATTATTTGCAAACAGTAATGAAAAAGGCTTTGATGCAATCAGGCATAATCAAAAAGATTTGTTTCAACCATAATTGCTTCCATCATTATGAGAAGTATTATCCACTTCTTTGTCATGTTCCATAATCATCCTTCAGAATAAATTACATCCTTACTTTTATACATTTATCCATTTTATATATTATTATAAACAATTTATTTTAATTTTGGAAAAACAAAAATTCACATTTTGCTAGAAATTATTTCATACCATTAAAAGCACATTTGGAAACATCACCATGAATGCATCCCAAGCTGCACTGACAAATTCAGTTCACAAACACTGATATCTATTTTTGTACCAATACATGTTATTGTATAAAACTTTACAACTAAAAAGGCCTTTCTGAAATTTTAATATCTCAGTAAATTAGAATGAAATAACTTAAAAAGATTTAAATCATTCATTTACTCAATAACTCTACCTAAAAGTTATCATTGCTATAAAGAGAAAGTGATCTTCATTCACTACTGTCTGGTCCAAACTTAACAGAAAACAGTATGGAGACTGCTCAGAAAATTAGAGATAAAATTTCCGTATGACCCTGTGATCCCTTTCAAGCATATTCCCCAAAATACCAAAAATATAATTCACAAAGATACACACACACACACACACACACACACACACACACACACACAATCTATGTTGACCACAGCCATCGTTCAAATACCCAAGGTTTCAAATGCTGAACGGTAGGTGAAGGGAAAATTAAACTGTGTTACATATACAAAATGGAATACTACACAGCTATGAGAAATGAAAAATCATGCAATTTGCCACAATCTGGATGCAACTAGAGGGTAGTCATGCTAAGTGAAATGAATAAGAAGTAAAAAAGACAAATTCCAGATGATCCTGCTTATATATGGAGTAAAGAAACAAGCAAGACAATTAGAGCAGCATGTCTAAACAGTGGGTCATATGGGTCACTGTTGAGTTCCCGGAAAATTCCTAGTGGGCCACAGATGAAAAGTCACATCAATTAAAGGCCAAAGCACAAGAATAGGAGGATCAATATTTTACTGTGAACAGGAGAACCACAGAAAGGAAACAAGGTCAGGAGGGGACCACAGTTGGAAGAAGGTTAAGAAAACAATGGATTAGACAATCTCCAATGAAAACAAGCTCAAAATACAACCAACAGAAAAGACAGTTGAACAGTGGTCAAGGGGTAGAGACACTGGTGGGACTGAGGAAACAGTATTGCAAGTGTAAAACAATAGGGAAACGCATAAAAGATGTTACTCAATAAAATAATTATTGTTGCTCTCCTCCTCATTTCTACTCATCCCAGTCCCATCTTAAAACTCAGTAATTAAAAAAAATTGGAAGTCACTATACAGAAATAGACAAAGTATTTTACAATAAGAATTTAACAGTAGAAGATCAACAGAAATTTAGTTGTTACAGGGTGGAGTTTTATGGGTTATTCCTAGCTCGGTGCTCAGGGTGACTTCAAGGCGATGCTCAGGGGAACATGCAGTGCCAGGGACCCAATCCAGGCCACCTGCATGCAAAGCACACACATGGCCTACTTAGCATCTCTCCAGCCTATTGTCTAGGTATATCTTAGAATTAACTGTATTATAGATTTGTTCAAATATGTTACATTTGATTTAATATAAGGAAGCATACCTATAAAATTGTGCATTTACTTTTTAAATAAGTGAAATACAAAATAAAAGGCTCATAAACTAAGATTCTATTTTAAAACAGCAAGATAAGGAAAGGAACCACTGCAACAATGATAGGGGGAAGTGGTCTCTTGGGATGAGAACTGGGTGCTGGACCGACGTAAAGTGATATACATGTGGGCCAGTCATAGTACTGCAGGTAGGGCACTTGCTTTGCATGCAGCAGACCCAGGTTCCACAGTCCCCCGAGCACCACCAGGAGTGATTCCTGAGTGCAAAACCAGGAATAACCCCTGAGCATGGCCAGAAACAAAAAAGTGATATGCATGATGTCAGGAACAGTACTGCAAACCACAGTGCCTAAAGGAAAAAAGAAAATGAAAAAGTGTCTGCCACAGAGGCAGGCTGGGGGGCAGGAGAGAAAATGACATTGGTGGAGAAAAGGGGATGCAGGTAAAAGGACTGGTGCTCAACACCGTATGCCTGAAACGCAATCATGAATAACTCTGTAACTTTGTAATTCACAGTGGTTCAATACATTTAAAAAAATCAAATAAGAACATCAAAATAATTCATTCTCATGATATGGCTAGTAAAGGTATGTAAGTCAATTTTATTAATTCATCCACAATTTACTTTGTCATTATACAAATACAGAACTTAAAGCTTAATAGGTGTCTTAAATGTGGGAAAAAGTTGGTTGTACACTCAGGAACTCTGGCCCCGGTGTTCCAGTGTCATTCCCGGCAGTGCTCGAGAGATCACAGTGCTAGAGACAAACCTGGACCTCCATACCCATTTAAGGTCTCTCTCTGGCCCAATAATCAATGTGATTTCAAAGAAAATCTCTAACCAAAAGTAGAAATACATTGCTCTGAAGGTTGAATTTACTTGACCTTCTTACCTGCTTCTTTTTTCTCTAGGTGACATTATTTTTTTTTTCCACAAATAATTATACCAAAGACACACATTTAAAACCCCAACCCAGATTATCTCAGATTATTCAACTGGCCACTTGCTTTCGCTTTCTCTCGCTTATGCCAAGATATTACTTATCTAATATCTAATTCTTATCCTACTGTTCTCCTCTCCTTTAGGGAACCACCCAATATCTCCAGTCATATATAGTTGAGGGCTAAAGATACTGCTTTGGCTGAGCACATGCTTTGCAGGCAAGACTCCGAAGTTCGAATCCCAAAACCCCAGTCTTCCAAACACCATATGGGGCCGAGCCTGAACCATGCCAGCTGTGGCTGAATTTCTCAATAGAAAATGTAAAATATTGCTCCACCCCTGACTTCTCTCTCTCCCTTTCATATCACATATTTAATGTACCAGTCTTATCAAATCTACCAAAAACATAAATCGAACATATCTACTTCCCCACATCTCTTGCTTGAAGCTATTCATACTCATTGTCCTTCCTGTTCCTGATCTTTAATTTAATCCACTTTTGACCAAGCAGAAAAAAAACTTCTTAAAATCTGTACAGGATTGTCTTACTTAAAATGTCCAATATTTTCTTCTCATAATTAAGTTCAACTTCTTAGCTGGATCTACAGGACCCACAATCTACAGGACCTAGAGTATATTTGTACTTTTTAAAAAGAAAGTTAACTTATTTAAAAGAAAAACATAGCATCTTTTCTAAAAAGTACTAGGGGGGTGGGGATAGAAGTATTGTAGATAAAGAATGGTTTAAAGCTGCTCCCCACCACCCACCCTGCCAAACGATGTACAGGGGCAGGGTGGAGGTGGTACACATCCAACTGTGCTCAGGCTTACTCCTGACTCTGCAACTCTGGGATCATTCGTGGTAGTGTTCAGGGTACTACATTCTATGCCAATCAAACCAGGGTCAGCAATGTGCACGTTAAGCACCTTAACTCCTGTACTATTTCTCCAGTGCCAATCTCATAAATTATTCTGGGTTATGTACTTAACTAGACAATATAGGACAATTTGCTAATCTTTCCTTTTATTACCTGCTAAAAACAAAAAAACCGAACTAACATATGTTCTAATTCAACTCCATTATGGAAATTTAGAACACCTACATTTTATTTATTTATTTATTGGGGGGGGGGTCACACCTGGTGATGCACTAGAGTCACTTCTGGCTCTGCACTCAGGAATTATCCCTGGTGGTGCTCAGAGGACCATACGGGACGCTGGGAATAGAACCCAGGTCAGCCACGTGCAAGGCAAACGCCCTACCTATTGTGCTATCGCTCCAGCCCCAACACCTACATTGTAATCTAATTTCCTAGATATAAAGTTAAGACTAGGACACAAGAAAAATTCAGAGATGAGTAACATCCTTACTACTTGATTAAAAAAAAAAGAGGATGGAATGGGGAAAGAAAAGGTTTAAAATGCCTGCTATCTAGTCTCTTAAGATCCTTCCTATTTTAATTATTTTATGCTCAAAAGGAAAAAAGCAAGACCAGGAGACTAAGCATAAGCTTCTTGCATGGAGGATGCCCAGGTTTGCTCCCCAGCACTGCACAGTTGCTGAAGGAGCTGATCCCCCATCAGCAGTTGGCAGAACTACTTCTGGCTCTGTGCTCAAGGTAATGCTTGGGGTCAATTTTCTTATCTCTAGAGGTTATGATTAGCAGAAACCTGTAGATTGGTAACTATGTGCAATCCTGCAATAATTTATACCAAGTTTATAACTACAATCAGATAACTAATACAATTTTAAAGTGGGTCTATATTTTCTTCTTCCTGCTTAAAAGCTCAGGGGGTAGGCTAACAGCAGCAGTGTTTGGGAGGCCATGCAGTGCCTCAGGGCCTTTAAGATGCTAAGCAGATTTACCATTTGCGCTCTCTCTGCAGCCCAAAGTAGGTCTACCTTTAATGTAAAATTCTATCAATGCCTTTTGGGAGGAACAAGTTTTTCCTAAATGAAGTTACTCAGTTTTCAAAGACTATTTTTAAAAAATTAACTCAAGTCATTTATTAAAAAATGAAATAAAAGCACAGTCATAGACGGCCTGGATAATATAAATCAAAGCAACTAATAAGAATTTTATCGAGATTACATAAAAAGCTATTTTCTTCTTTTTGCTCACACTGAGTTGCTAATTTTTCTATAATAAAACATTTTTTTAATAAGAAACAAATTTTAACACAATTAATTCAAATGCAAATAAAGCAAACCATGTATATGTATATTCACATTCTAAAATTGAAAATAAAATTGAACAATACTCATAAGTACACTAACCAAATTCATGTAACTATTGAAACAGAACAACTAGAAACATTACGCATTATAACATACCCTCTAGTTTTACTTTGAGTCCTAACTCTATACCATGTACCTCCATATTTTAAATATTATCAAGACTTCCCATATAAACCTCTTTTGTATTTTTTAAAATCATTAAGAAAAGATTACCGATAAGACTTCTATAATCCCTTAACCTCGAATTTCTCTTCTCTTGCTCCTCACTGACAGATTTCCACTGCAGTTTCATCCTGAAGTATTCATCACTTTAAAAAAAAAAATTTTTTTACACACAGTTTTTAAAAATTTTATTTAAAAACCATTTGCGAGAGCTTTCCTACAGTTACATTTATGTGCTAGTGAAATGTACATTTATGTTTTAAAAAGTCAAAATTGAATGAGCAAAAAAGAAAAAAAAATAATCTTACATTAAGTCATAACCTTTGCTTAAGCTACCTGAATAATTTCAGGTATGATTTTCAGGAAATATTTACATCAATCTTTAATTTCATACCTAATATTCTTCTAGTCATTTAATACCTTAACTACTAAACTTTTGGAATAATTACAAATAAAAATTTACATGATTTTAAAAAACGTGACATGAGATCTACCTTCCAATCCATTTATTGCAGAAATTCATTCATATAAAAATGTCCAGGGGGCAGGAGTACAGAGGGTAGGACATTTGCCTTGTACACAGCAGACCTGGGTTCAATCCCTGGCAGCCCATATGGCCCCCCGAGCAATGCCAGAAGTAATTCCTGAGTGAAGTGCCAGGAGTAACCCCCTAAGTATCAATAGGTATTACCCCAAAAAATCAAAACAAAGTTCTAGGACTGGTACATGTGTTAAAAAAAAAAAAAAAAAGAAATGACTAAGAATTTGAATATGCTCATAATAATCAAGAATTTGCTTTAAACCAGTCTAGACTGGTGGGAGCAACAGTACAGTGGGTAGGGTGCTTGCCTTGTACAAAGCCAACCCAGGTTCGATCCCTAGCACCCCATATGGTCCACCAAGCCTGCCCAGAGTGAACCGAGTGCAGAGCCAGGTATCCAGGTATAAGCACTGAGCACTGTCGAGTGTGACCCCCAAACACACAAAAATAACAATAGGCTAGACTGACAACTGAGAACAAAAAGTTAACTAGAAAATTGGTCTTTTTTTCTTTCAAATGAGAAGTTACTTAAAAAGAGATCCTCACCCAAAACAAAGACAAGCTTATGTTATAAAAGTACCAAAAAACAATAACCTAAAAGAAAACTTTTTATGACCACTTGTGTAATTTAGTAATTATAAAGATGTATGCAAAAAAAAACCAGGGGGGTTGGTACATTTTAACCAACTTGTTTCACCTTCACCAACATAACTGAACTAAGATCCTTTATTTAAAAAAAAAAGTGTTCCTAGCTGAAGTAACTACAGTGCTCACTGTTGATTTTTTTTTAATTAAAAAGATTAATTATTTGGGAAATTAAGAGGCAGCTCAAGTATGCAATGCCCTGAGTTCAGACCCTCATACTACATGGTTACACAAGCAATGCCAGGTATAGATAGTCCTGGTGACCCAGAATATCTCTGGATATCGATAAAAATAAGAGAAACAATTAATTTCCTGTACTCCAGCCCAAATCCTCATCATGAAACCCTATGCTAATTTGTATGGGTGAATTACTTTAATTTCACTGATGAACAGACAAAAGACCATCACTTACGTTTTTTGTTTTTGTAATTGAGTTCTTTCCTCCTTGGTGCTGTCCCAAGGAAAATAACCCAGAAGAAATTTCCATGCTTGCTTTCTCAATGAATGACTAAGTCCCTGAAGAAAAACATGCACATTTTTACATTTATAAAAAAGAAAATGTAAGTTCAAATGTGTAAACAAAAAGACTAATATCTCAAGAGCTCTACAGATTAAAAACAGCTTAACTCAATCCATACAACATGCTTTTGACTTAAAGATTCTGAAGATGTGAGGCCCAGAGATTACAGATTACCAGAGGCAATGATACAATTCCTGGTAGAGCAAGGTCCCCCAAGTTCCACTAGAAATGGCCTAATTCCACTAGAAAAAGCATTATGAGGTTGCAGCCCCACAACCTCCCTGCTCCCCTCCAGAACCCTGAAAAAAGACTGAGAATGCAATAAAGCTTCCAGGAAAGATCCCATATATAATTTCAGACAGAGGAACTGGTTATTCTTCATAATATAGTCCTTACAAGACAAGACCTCCAATATTGGGGTACGTACCTCCTTCACAAAAGTCACAGAATTCCAACCAAGAAAAAGGATCTTTCCCTAGACTTAATGGTGTTCCCTCACTCAACTTCAGAGACCTCAGGAGTGTGTCACTCTGTCCTACAGAGATTTTCCAAGGGTATACTGAGATCAAAGCCCAGTCTCATAAAGTCAAGACATCTGCTACACATACCCCTACAAGGATTTTAAGACATCATTGTTAAAATTTCATTTCTCTCTTACCCCTCTAAATATCATCTGTTTCATATTCTCTACGTTTAAAATTCTTCCTTCTGAATCAATGTTCTTAGTCCATTCTTCCAGGGATACTGGTTCCCTCCTTTGTACAACAGGTCGTTCTCCCAAGTCAATCTAAAACAAGATGAGCAATAAGATGAACACATCTTTTTTTAATTTAGTTTTTTTATTGAATTACCACGAGCTACAGTCACAAACCTTTCATGTTTGAGATTCAGTCATACAATGATCGAACACCCATCCCTCCCCACCAGCACTCATTTTCCACCACCAATGTCCCCAGTATCCCGCTCCTCCCCCTGCCTCTATGGCAGACAATTGCACTCTTTTTCTCTCTATTTAATGGGTACTATGGTTTTCAATACAAATTACAGATACTGTGAGGCCATCATGTTTGATCCTTTATCTTCTATCAGCACAACGCTCCCATCCTGAGCGATCTCTCCAACTATCATTGATCCCCTCTCTATCCCAGCTGCTTTCTCCACCAGCTCTTGAGGCAGGTTTCCAACCATGGAATAGTCTTCCTGGCCCTTGTCTCGACTGTCGTTGGGTGTTAGTCTCATATTACAGTATTTTATATTCCACAAACGAATGCAGTCATTCTATGTCCCTCTCTTTCTGACTCTTTTCACTTAGCACGATACGTGTCCATGGCCATCCACTTATAAGCAAATTTCTTGACTTCAACTTTCCTAACAGCAAGAAACACATTTTAAACAGTGAAGTCATCATAAATAGAAACTGAAATTAAATACTAAACTAACATTCTCAATTTTCAGCTGTGAACTGTAAGATAAGCATTCTATATATCTTCCCTTTTACTACACAGATCAATGATTAGGGGTCTGAGAGATACTATAAGGATAAGGAGGTTGGGTCTAACACTAGTTCCATCTTTTCCATCATATGGTCCCTCATCACCGCCAGATGTACCCAGGCAGGCCCCCGAACACCCCCTGGGAATCCCCAAAACCCCCAACATCCCATTTTGCAGCTGGCTTAGAATAAACAGAATGAACCCCTCGGCTACCTAACAGTGCTCAGGAGCTCCCCCAAGCCAACAAAATAACTGAGTAGTTGTTTCAGAGATAGAAAATTTTTGCTGGAGCTAGAGAATAGTTCTGGGTTTAACCCTCTGTCACACTGCCTCCTGGGCACTGTCAGGAGGCACAGAGGTGGGAGAAGCCATTAAGCACCACCAGCTAGCCCCTGCCCCACCCCACCCCCAATAAAGAGAAAAACATTTGCTCTCATGTTTTGATTACAACCATGTAAACATTAAACATGTAAATTTGCTAAGAAACCTTTAGAACTAAATGGTGTTCTTTATTAGTGTTACTTTTAAAATGCAAATATCATTTCATTAATCATTTGTATCACTTGTGATCCCGTTGTTCATCGATTTGCTGGAGCAGGCACCAGTAATGTCTCCATTCATCCCTGCCAAGTGCTAGCGTAGCCCAATGGCGTATTGGGGGCTCTTTCAGGGTCAGGAGAAAGAGACCCATTATTGTAACTGTTTCTGCCATATCATATACATCACAGATAGCTTGCCAGGCTCTGCTGTGTGGGCGGGATACTACTGATAGCTTGCCAGGCTCTCCAAGAGGGAGAAACTAATCATACTCTAAAATTAATTTTATTCCAAACTAAACTTTGCAGTTTTCAGAATTGATACACAATCCATTAACTCATTGATATTACCTATTTTTTTCAATTCAATTAACAGATACCTGCTGGTAACTTCAAAATACCATTTTTAATATAAGCTCTCTCAATTAAGTACTATACACTTGATTATTTTCTAATTGTATGTAGTCTATAACTGCAGCAGATTCAAAATTTGTGGTGAGCATATATAAAAATTTATAGTATGACCAGAGTGATAGTACAGTGAGTATAGAGCTTGCCTTGAATGTGGCCAACTTGGGTTCGATCTCCTGTACCACATGTGGACCATGAGCCCAGCCAATAGTGACGCCTGAGTGCAGAGTAAGGATTAAGTCCTGAGTAATGTTGGGTATGGCCCAAAAGCAAAAGGAAAACAAAAATCTGTACAGTTCAGGACCAAAAATTAATTTCCCAAGAGACTGAAAGACCCATAATAGTATGTCCTGACTGTCTACTGAGGAACACCTAAATCAGAAACAGAAATTAGGCAATTGCAAAGTTCAGTATTCATTCACTTCTACTATGCATTCAAAGAATTAGTACCAAAATATAAACAAAGAAAAGAGATCCAAAAATAACTACCAAAGATAAATAATAACCAATAAAGAACAAGCCAAAAGTTTGGAGAAAAGTAATCACTACTAGTTGTTAGGAGATAACACTCAGCAAGAAAGATTGTAAGAATTATTGGTGAAGGGGGAAGGATTATAAGAAAAAAAAACATGTATTCAAAACTGAGTTTCTAGCTCTACAATATTCAAATTCATTTAAATTTTTTTTTCTCTTAAAGGTAGAGTTAAATATAGATCTCTACTCACTCTTGTGATGACTTCAAATCCTGGTTCTTCTTGCTGGTTTATCTTTAAACCTGGAATAGCATCACTAAGAAAATCTGCCATTTCTGAAGGTGGCCGTTGATGTGTGGAAGGATCACTGCCTCTCAAACTATCAAAAATGTAGTTTGTGACTTTGGAAAATCCTACCATAGTTGCTGTATAAGGATCCTTTTTAATTTTCTATGTAGTAGGAAAAGATAATGACATTATTAATTCAAATAAAGAATACAAATATCTTATGATTTAAAAGTCAAAGTTGTCTTAAGGGGGGAATCAGAACTAAAAAATGGTCTATGATTGTCTTTAAATTTTGTTTTTCTCTGGGAAATAAATGGCAAATAATGCTACTGATTGTAGATACATGATTTGCAGGCTTCAGTCAATCTGCATACATCAGAAACATATGCAGTGCTTACTTTCCATTGATGAATGGCCCACAACAGCTTTCTTCTGTCTAGCGGTCCTGCCTTCGCAAAAAGAATATTTCTTGAAGTGTGCAGTACCACACTAGAGTAATGCAAGGTATTTGATAGCTAAGTTTAAAATGTTTAAATATTATCTCACATTGTAATCTAATTTTATAACTAGTAAATCATGCTGACACCAGTGATGTATTTTGAGCAATGCTGTCTTAAAAGGCCGTGAAATGCTTTTGTACTTTTTGGATTTACTTCTAAATCCCAAAATGCCACTTTATTCATATTTAGCAAAAAGAGTTTTACTTGTTTTTGACTTGCTGGGATCCCCACACCATGGAGCTCTCAGGACCACGTTTTTGAAGCATGTAGCATCACTGTGCAATCAAGCTCACCTCAAATTTGCCCCAGGCCCTTTTTCAAGAGGACTGTCCTGTGCCATCATCTGAACCCCTCTCCCATCCTTTCCAGAACTGACAAGATCACCTATGCCCCCTCCGAACCCCAAAACAGTTACTCTGAAAGGTCTATCTTTTGAATTACTACCTTCATAGTAACAAAAACATTTCTCTTACTTTCTATTTTAATCAATATTTAATCTCTTGCCCATCTTCCTTAAAAGCTCACTCTTTCCTTTTGCTTTTCTTTTGGAACCAAGATGAGAACATCCATGACAGAGAAAGCATCCAAACATTTGTTAAATAAACAAATGGCCATTTCATTACATATGAATTGTAATGAAAAATTCACTTCATTTTTGTCTATATTAAGTGAATATTTTTAGGAAGAATATATTTGAATACTTCAAAGAAAATTTGATTGTCATTATCTCAAAGCAATCTACTGAACTAGAAAATGAGAATTCAAATCATATTTTTGCTAAATTTATCATTAAAAAATCTGTTACCTTTCATCTAATCAATAAAAACTATGTTAATAAAATCTACTAGCATCCAATTTCAGTTTAATAATAAAGGATAAAATTTGCCATCAGAGCAAATAAAAACCCACAGAAGCTTTTGAATTTTAGAAATTTTATGAAATATACCATTTCCAAACTACAGAAAATAGTCCAAAAAGCCCCCACACAAACAGTCTCATTCTGTATGTTTGACAAAGTGAGAGGTAGAAGACATAAAATAATAAAGTGAGATTAGCGGAAGATAGATTTAGATACATACTTGTATTAAACCATATGCTGGTTCATCAAGAAGATTTTCAAAAGACTGTGAGAGACTCTTATTTTGACAATTCACAAGAAGTATTCTCTTATCCTGTGGAGATCTGTAATAAAAAAGAAGGGATTTATAGAAAGTTCGGGCACACTGCATCAATTACTACCCCAAAAATTATTCATGCACCACGAAACAGCAACAACACAAAAAATACCTTTTATGTCCAGATCTAGAACTACTTTCCATTAACACTAACAAACAGTAACTGAGTTAAATGAGTTTCAAAACTATCTAAAATATGAATTAACAGAACAAACAAACCAAAAAGACTACATTGTAAAGAATCCAAATTACTTTTCTTCTCACCCCACCCCCTACCCAGCCCCAGCCCCAGCCCCAGCCCCAGCCCCAGCCCTAGGCCAAAACCCTGGTTTTCAATGCAAACACACACTGAATTACCTGTCCTACATGTGGGAGGCCCTGGTTACCAACTCTAGGGACACAGGGACGGACACACACACACACACACACACACACACACACACACACACACACAAATATGATCTGGGGCCAGGGATATGGTTCAGAGTAGAGTAAATGCCTTGCATGTATCACACATACCAAAAAGAAAAATTTTATCAATATGTGGTTGGATAGGTAGATGGTTACCAATTTGATCATACAACTTGGTAGAAAAGCAGTATTAGATGCTAAAAAACGTAAGAAATGACATTATTTGCTAAAGAACATTAATTCTGCTAATTATAATTATAAACATGAAAATTATATTTAACAAAATTATGAAGTATTGTTTAGATAGTATAATTTTTAGTTCCATTAAGCTTTAGAAGCAACTTTCTTATATACTTAATAACTAGAGTAAATAAAATGCATTCTAAGTAAATATCTAATTGCAAGTAATAGATAAATTATCCAATCTTTTTTCTATTCAGTAAGTTTTAAAACTTAGCAAATAAGCTGTAATAACTCCACAACTTTTGTGCTTAAAATAAAAATTAAATGTGCTCTTTTGCTGCTCTCTACCTCTAGTTTATTATGTTTGAGATAAGAACTTTAATAACAGTTATCTCTTCTCAATTCTAACACAACAGGATGAAACCCCAGTGCCAGGGTGGATATGAAATTCAAAACAGGATCTTCTTACATAGTCAGAAACAGCACTCGATCTTCACAGACAACAGTAGCTTAATATGCCCCTGAGCATTTTATGGAGTTCAGGGCTAGTAATTTGAAGTATGAGAAAAATAGTAACTCTTAACATATCTAATTTTCATTTAAACATCACTCTTCAGAATATTTTGGGGGGTGTTCATGGGTAATATGAAGACCTACAGGTTTAAACGAGAGGTCAACTTTTAAATGCAGCACCAGGGGAAGAAAACTAATACAGGAATAAAGTATTTTTTCCTACCATGATGCTGCTGGCTCTTGCTTTATTTCTGGGGTTAAAGAAATATTGTAGTGGCTAAGGTGCTCGCCTTGCCTAGGGCGAACCACAGCTCAATTCCCAGCACCACATATGATCCTGTAAGCACAGAGCCAGGAGTAGTAAGCCCTGGGCACAGCCAGTTTAGCCCAACCCCCATCCACACCTCCAATAGATACAGTGCACAGATCTGATGTCTGGCACAGCAGGGCCCCAACCACTGCTGAAAGCAACCCTAAACAGAGCCAGGAATAGACTCCGCACCACATGGGCCAGGGATATGCATTCTGACCTAATCACCCCCAAAGTAATATAAAATCACTGCAGCAGTAAGGCACAACTCTTCTTAACACTAGCAATTCTATTAGAAATTAAGGAATGGCTTAAATTAGTATATTTAACACAGTTATATTAATATCATTGCTACAGACAGTATGTCTACTAAAATTTCAAAAGCAATTCCCATGCTTTCTAGTGAATTTCCTACAAACACCTCAGAAAAAATTTTTAGAGATTGTAAGAGCTGGGCACCACAGTAAAAGTATGCTGGCTGTGGTACTTGCCTTGCACACATATGGTTCCCTAAGCACTGCCAGGCCCTGAGCACAGAGCTAGGAGTAAGCCCTGAGCACAGCTGACTGTTGCCCCACCAAAAAACCCTAAAACCATAATAGTTTCACTAATAAAAATTTTTTTAAAAAATACATATTTAAAAATGGGAAAAAATGCACTGTGTGATGCAGTAATGCCACAAGAGTGACCAATATGTAAAGCTCAAGAAGTAAATTAAAATACTGCAAAGAATGTCAATCCAAAAGAGGTAAATTAAAAAAAGATACCAAGTCAAAGGGGTAAAGCACATTCCTGGCATGTTCAGATCTTTGTGCTCCAGCCCTAGCGCCACATGGCCTCCAGCACACTGGGTGTGGCATTCACTGGTGGGCCCAAGCACAGAACTGTCAGGCCCACACAATAAACCAGGCACCACCGGCATGCCCTCTATGGTCTCCCGGCACCACTGGGCGTGCCTTCAATAAAAAAAAAAATTCAACAGTACAGAATATTTTCAGCAAAACCATGCATATCATTATAAACATAAAAACTGAATTGTGTATGTAAAAATTAAGTAATTGGGTTATCTAGAACCTAATTTCATAGAAGGTTTATAGAACACAACCAACTTGGCTTTGGGGGGAACTATAATACTTCTTGAATATTAATGTGTTAATGTAAAAAAAGGATCCGATCTACAGAATGGTTTAATAAAACCAATGACTTACTCATAACCTCGCATTCAATTTGGTTCCAGAAAGGTAAATGCAAACATACTGTGATTCACTGTTTCACCCAAGTGAATATCATGTGTCAGGATCAACAACTGTAACACTCTGATTTTTTCAGAATATATATAAGAAGCATTTACTAACAAGTCTCAGCCATTTTGTGTTAACTGAACCAGTTGGTTAGAGTGAAAGAAGGAACTGAGCGGAGTTTCTTCCACCCTCTTGAAAGACTGCCCCACCTCCAGCATTCATGATGTCTGCTCATATACGTGGTGCGGCCCTTAATTAGGAGAACTTAAAAAGCTGACATGGTCTTAAATCAAGTCTCATTCTTCAATTTAGGGTAATCAGAGAATATAGCTCTCTGTTGGTTCTGAGCTAAGAAGACAAGGCTGCTGAAACCAAGGTCTTCTGAACTCTTCTTCCTATTTCCTTCAACAATCTCACATCACAGAAACATGATTCTGGAAGCATTATTTTGCTTAACTACTGCCGAAACAGGAAATTAAGACACCCATAGGAGATAACGAGGAGAACAAAAAAAATTTTGATATTTGGGGATTTTCATCTCTTTGGACTTAATGGAATTCCACTTACTTAGGTCACAACTAATAAGAACGAAGACCTGAAGACAGAGAGATAGTATAGCAGGAAAGGCACTTGTCCAGCACAGCTGCCCCAAGTTCAATTCCCAGAACCCCATAAAGACCCAGAGCTTCTCCAGGAGTGATCCCTGAACACAGAGCCAGGAGAACCACCAGGTGTGGTCCAGAAACCAACATAAAGAACCAAGACCTAAATATATTCTTAAGAATCTAACCATGGAACTTAGTTCCTCCACAGCTGGGGAGTTTCCTTTTCTTTCCTTTCCTTTGCAATATTTCAAACTCTGAAGGTGGGGGTGGGGGAAGAATCTGATAATGGAAGAATATATAACTTTTTTAATTAAAAAAAATACATTGGCTTTTGAGTATCTACATTCTAACCACTTGAGTATATAATCTTTATGGGACTATATTACACAAAATAATTCATTTATAATGGAAAAGAGAATAGAAAATACTTATTTTCCCCTAGGTTACAGAGGGCCCTTGGAGATAAGTATTTGACATACTATTCTTACACTTTGCATGGCAGAGCCTGGCAAGCTCCCCATGATGTATTCGATATGCCAGAAACAGTAACAATAACAGGACTCATTCCCCTGACCGTCAAAGAGCCTCCAATACAGCAGCATTGGGAAAGACGAGTAAGGAGAGGCTGCTAAAATCTCAAGGATGAGACGAATGGAGACATTACTGGCGGTCGCTCAAGTAAATCGATGAACAACGGGATGACAGTGATACAGTGATACTGTGATTCTTCAGATCATTCAAGGAGCAAAAACTAAAGTGGACCCCAGTGAAACAGGAGCGTACACAACGGTAATATAGCTTCCATTAGAAATATAGTGTTTAAAGGACTTACTCTACACAACTAACTCCTTCCCCAAGAAAAGCACATCCCTAGTTAACCACAAACTCAATGATAGGAGAACAAAGAGAATCAGTCTCCTCTGCTAGGTTTTTCTCTTTGACTAAGTAATCAGTCAATTATGCTCAGACATTTTCCACTTCATCCTCCCCCTAGATGATTTCATTTTCTCCAGAGCCTAAATTACTACTGATATATATGTGTGTACTATATAGATACACATATACATTGTACACACATATACACATGTGCATATCATATGTATACTATATACATGTGTGTAAATAAATATCTTTTTTATATTTTCTTATAGTACTCTATATAGATTATTTTGAGAACCCTTTCAGCTGATATCGTACATATATTTTTAAAAGGACTCTTAGTCTGTCTTATAATAGCACCAACTCCTGTGGTCTTATGTTTCTGAATGGAAATATGTACTCATCGTAAAGAAACTTCCTCTGTAGGGATATACCTGATTGCTGAGAACAGGAAAGAGAAAGATGTATGCTTGGCATAACCTCTTCCAGACTCTCTCCTGGATCTGCCTGATAAAAGAAAACATGCTTTCACATCATAAGTAGACCGTCCTCATTATGAAACCTGTGGCTATACAAGTAGCAGGGAGACTTCAAAATTAATTTGAGGTGAATTAGTATGAAGCTGCATATCTAAGCCTCACCAGTTTTTGGTTTTGGTTCATATCCAGCAGTGCTCAGAGATCACTCCTGGTCATATTCAGGAGAGGTCCATACACAGTGCAGGGATCAAGCCTAAATCACTGGAGTTCAAGATAAGTACCCTCCCTGCTATCTATCTCTTCAACCCACCAAATATTTTTAACCTCACATCTGATTCTTATATTTACATATTTACAAACATTAAAAGAAAGATGACCATTTCACTTACAATCCTCATTAAGACATGACCAAACACATTTACGGTATACAACCCTTGATAACACCTTAGTCATGTTGATTCTATACATAAATCCATACAGGACAGAAAATTCCTGAGCTAACCCTGACCTAAATTCTATTTGAAGTCATATAAAAAAAATCTGCAATTTATGATAACCCTTTCAAAATTATGTCAAACTGATCATTACCATGTCACTTATTTATTCAACAAAGATTTACTGCACCAATACTATATGCCAGGCTTTTTGGCTAGGAACTCAAGAGAAAAATGTAAACAATGTTGAACAACCCTCTCTTTATGCTTTCATTCTGAAGTAGAACATAAAAGAAGTAAACTGACAAAACTATTCTGTTAAGAACCATCAACAAAGCATAACATAGCAAAAGGAATGGAAGTGGGAACCTAGACTCTATGGAAAAGGCCTTCTGAGAAAGTGACAAACTGAATCATTCTGTGGTTCAGGAAAATATTCTAGGGTGAAGAGTTAGTATACTAAAAGAAGACCCTCCAGACAAGAGTTTAGGGCGTTCCTGGATCCAAAATATAATCCTGCACTATAATAGAAAATGACATGAAAGGACATTAAGGATTATAAATAAAAGGTGGCAGAGGAACAACACAGGTTAAGTTAAGGTCCATGCCTTGCATGAAGCTGAGCCCAGTTGGGTCCCCGGCACCTTTCATCCCCAACCACCAGCCCATGCAAGACTGAGTAAGCCTGGAGGCCCTTGGGTGCAACCAAAGTGGCCTGGGTCATTCCTGGCTCTGTAGGGTCAGGGCAGCACCTCATTCTAGGGCTAGGATGGACTGCTAATAATCCCCAGGATTGGCCTCCTTAGCATTTGGGAGACCTTGGTCAGTCTTGGGAGACACTCCTTCCCCATAACCCTAAAAGAGAGATAATCTAACAAAGCTAAAACCTAAAACAAGGCAGCCACAGTAAGCAGTTTTGATTTTTAAGTTTTATTTAATGCTGCGTGAAAACATCTCATTGAAACTAATCCTCTACATCTTCTAATCCTTTATAATACCATTTTTAATACATTTAATAATACAAGTCATCTCTTCCACATAGTGTATTTTAATACATCTTAAATGTGCTTAGTTCTCTAACATCTGTCTTCAAAAATAAAGAATACAGAGGAACCATCATTGACACAGTGGATACTGTATGTCATCAACAAAATCTCAAATGGAATGAACTCTTGTAACAGTTACACCACAACACTGATTGACACGACCTTCATGTGATGTTAAATAATGACAATCATTAGTCACACCTGCCCCAGTAATGACCCCACCCCTCCTGAAACTTACTTTCCTATTCAGTTTCACCTTTGAGATCCTAAAGTCACATACTATCCACTACACCTTACTTTGTAGCAGCTATGGTAATGATCAGCACACCCGAGAGGATCAGAATGGTGGGAAGAAAATGGCAGAAATCACAGAATCGAAATCTCCCAGCTTTATAAAATCTAAAGCTAAGCATGTCTTACTGTACTATAAAGTTAGAATTTTTAATAAAATTAATCATCCCTGTGTGATAGCACACAGCAGATAGGGCGTTTGCCTTGCACACGACAGACCCAGGTTCTATTCCTCCGCCCCTCTTGGAGAGCCCAGCAAGCTACCGAGAGTATCTCGCCCGCACGGAAAAGCCTGGCAAGCTACCCGTGATGTATTCGATATGCCAAAAACAATAACAACAAGTCTCACAGTTTGTTGTGAGATGTTACTGGTACCCACTAGAGGAAATCGATGAATAGGAGGCTAGTGCTACAGCAATACCATCCCTACAGTTCTCCAAGCGAAAAAGTACTTTATCATCTTTCTCCCTCCTTCTCACCCCCACATATATATTCAGTGACCTTGTGGCTCAGTAGTCTGTCTGACCCCACGTATCTTCCCAATCACAAAATACAACCCAAAATAGGGGCCAAAGAGATAGTACAATGGGTAAGGCCCTTGCCTTCACATCCCACCTGTGTTTGATCCCTGGTACCCCATATGGTCCCCTGAGCCCAGGAATGACCCCTGAGCACAGAGCCAAAAATAAGCCCTGAGCATTACCAGGTGTGACCCAAACTAAAAAAAGGATTTCCCTGATATTTCTCTTTTAAGCCACACTCAACAGTGCTCAGGACAAGACAAGTCCCTGCTCTGTGCCCAGGGGTTGTTCCAGGACTGCTCGGGGAACCAGGCACTGCCAAGGGAACACATGAGGCATCCAGTGTGCAAAGCATGTGCTCAGTCCATTGATTTCTCTCCATCACTAACTGATCTTTGCTGTGATTCTCTGAGTTCATGGCACTGTAATCTGCCCGAGATGACAGTAACCATCTGCTAGCATAATTTACAAGATCTCTCAGGCTCTGTCCTTCACTGCCCTCCTTCTGTACACGATATCGATCTGAGATACTGATGCTCTGTCCTGTGACTGTATCACATCCATAGTTTTCTCTCTGAAACATCTCTTTTCTATATCTCACACCCTGTCACATGTGTTCATTTAGGTCAGAAACCAATTTAGATGCTTCTTTCTCCAAAACATCTTTCCTGAGCCCTTACGTAAAACCTGTCTGAACGAGGTACCCTCCTTTCCCAGGATTTCAAAATAAAACTTTACTTCACCTCCATCTTAGCTTTAAGTTCTACTGCCATTTACTTAACAATATGCTCCACCTACCCTGTACATGACTATCAGCTGCAATTAGCTGCATTCAGAATGGGAGACCCAGAATAAATCTGCCAAAGTGCCAAAAAATAGCACTATGTATACAAGTGCACATAGATGATTAACTATAGGACAGATTTTTGGAAAATGAGAGCTTTCTGTCTTCTGTACCAATAATTTTATAAATAACTTGTCTGATTCAAAAGTGGAACATTATAAGCTATGTCTAACAGAAACTACATTAATAAAAGGCAAATATATCCACCATGATCACCGATGCATCATATTTGAACCCTAAAAAGTGCACAGGTCACTAATACCCAATGACAAGCAAAAATAGTTCCCTTGGGACAATAATCCAATTTCAATAAGTATAAAATAATTTGATACTTACTCACACAATACCACATATTTTTCAAGAGATTCAATCAGTAGTTTGCTATCTCCTTGATGAAAGTGTAGAGCAGGGAGAACGACGTCATCCTTTAGACAGAATACCAAATACGACCAGCCCATACCCTCTTTGTTTTGCTTGATTGATTTCAGGTCTGTCAAACTGAACAGGAATGACCATTTGCTTTTCCCATTTCTATGACTTGGAGCATCTTAAAAACAAGAAAGTGGGGCAAAATAGTTTTGTTCACCTTTTTTAAAGGTACTGATAATGCTCTTCATGACTGCCTAACAGAAATTAGCTGAACCTAGGGAATGACTATAGCATTCATATTATTATGGTTTCCATCTGTATTTGAAATGGCTACATACATTTTAAGAGTAACATTTTTTAAAAAATAACAGCCCTACTGTATACAAATTGAAAAATTGTTTCCCCAACTCAAAAAATAAAAACTTTTGAAAAAAATGACAATGGCTTTGAAGCAGGAATGTTGGATTCAAATTGCAATACCACTGTCTTGCTAACTGAATGATCCTAGTAAAATACGTGACTTTCTCGAAGCTTCAGTTTCTTCATCTATAAAATGAAGACCATTATACTTACCTTCCAATATTATTCAAAGAATAAAAATCTTATCTGTCTACTAACTAGTACAATGATGAGTATATAACAAACAGATAGTTGATGAATATTAATGTTTTCCATTTCCCCCAAATACAAATGACATGAGGTTCTTGGAGAGTAATTTAAAAAAAAAAACCCACACACACAAAAAAACCACTTCTATTTTCTCATTTCCTTGGAACGAATATAAAGATTGACATTTACACACACAAATTAAAAACACAAAGAACAACAGATAACAAAATGAAAATATACAAAGTTGTGAACGCTTTCAAAAGAATAAATTCAAACTTCCTGTTAGAATGACCTTTTATCAAACAAAAACCTAGTTTAAACTAAACTATAACCACGTAGTATAAAACATTTTGAGTCTGGGGCCAGAGTGATAGTATAGCGGGGACCCTGGCATCCCATACGATACCCAGAGCACTGCCAAGAATAATTCCTGAGTGCAGAGCCAGGAGTAACCTCTGAGCGTCACTGAGTATGACCCAAAAAGCAAAAAAAAAAAAAAAAAATTGAATCTGTATAGTTTATAAAAACTTAAAAATTGAAAATCTTAAGATTTATGAATACCATATTTGACAAGCAGCATAAAAATTAAACAAATTAAAATATTTCCTTTTAATACTGCACTATTCAAAGGAATAATTAATTTCTAATGTAAAGTATGTCACTTTCGACATTTTACCTCAGACATGTCTGTTTCTGAAATTTAAAAAAATCTTATCTGTAATATTATTTCCTGTCATACTATCCTGTTAGACAAGACCACCACTAATTCCATTCCACACTATAATTTCTGTAAAAATAAAATGCACAGAAGATACATGCTTACAGACCTTGATCAAAGGGTAGTTCAATCAGTACTGATCTGCACGTATGTCACCTTTCTATACATTATCACCTCCAATAAGATCCTGACACAGAAATTTACACTTTACAAAATAAAGGCATCGTTACTATCTCATGGACACACGACCAAGTATCATTTGAAAAGAGATCCAGAAAGGCTAAAGTAACTTCCTACACTCTGACCTGATCAGCTCTCACACAAGTTTGGATGATGAGCTCTTATCTAAGGCTAGTACTAGAGTAAATGTCACCTTACATCACATTCCTCTGGAATTTACATTATACAGAACAAAACACTACTATGAGATAATATTAAAGTGAAAATAATTCCAGAATTTCAGTATCTTCATCAATCATTTAAGTGTAAATATACTTGAATTGCTTACAAACTACACACACAAATATCTTGCAAAGATCAAGGTATTTTCACATCAAAACAGCAATGAAAAATTACATAAAGATAAGTTTTAACATTAAAATGCTTAAAGTAATAAGAAAGTACTTAATGCAAGAAAATCATATGAAAAAGACCGAATAATTCGTGCAGGCTGCAAGAATTATCAAAAGTCTGTGCATATTACAAAATAGAATTTTATGTATTGTTTTTCTCACAAAGAGACATACAACAGAAGGTGCCCCACTCACCAGTATTTAAGTTGGTCTATATATTGTATATATAAGCTCATATATATGTGAGAACAGAAACACTATTTTGTATCTCCAGTGCCCAGATAAAAATACTAGCACATAGCAGATACTCAAAAGATGTGGCATTAAATAAATTAATAACCCGATAACAAGTCAATGCAAAAGTAATCTTCAGTGTACCATCAACAGTTAACCAGAAATAGAAATAGGTACAAAGTTAATCCTTAGAATAACTCACAATTTTCTCCTTTTTAAACTTAAAACCAAATAGAGTACATGCTTTGCATGTACAAGATCCTGGGTTCAATTCCAGGCAGCGCATGACCCCCTTGAATCCCACCAAGTGCAAACCCCACAACAAATAAAAGTTAATCAAATAAACTATGATGAACTTAGGTCACCAAAAAACATAGAAAGTACAGTAAGTTTTCACCTAATAAGGACAGGTTCTTGGGAAAAACAACTTTAAGCTAAGGCATGACATATCATGAAACCAAGTTCACCAATGACCTCATTTGACATCTGCCCAGATTTTTTTCTCATCAACGTTTTTACAAAAAGATTATCTGAGAACCTACTATTATCTCGAACATGCTGACAAAGGAAAACTGACCATAACAGCATAAGAATGAAATAAAATGTATCCCTACATCTTGAGTAGAACTAATACCAAGAACCTGACAGTTTATTTAGATAGGTACATTACAGCAATTCTGTTGTTCTGAGACGTATTTTCAAAGTATTTAATCTGGTATATAAAAACAGTAACTCAAGAGTAGAAACTCATTAAAAACATGTTAAAGAAAAAGCCAGAGATACAGTACTGGGGTTAAGGCACTTGCCTTGTACATGGCAGACCAGGGTTCAACCTTTGGCACCTTTGGTTCGCTTAGCACCAAGTGGTCAGGGTCAAGAAATGACCCTGAGTAGAGCCAGGAGTAAGCTCTGAGCATCACCAAGTGAGGCCCTCAAACTCCCTCTAATGTTAATAAGTCTTCAAGAATCATTGTCTAAAGGTTTGTTTCACATTTCCTGTGAATCATTAGAAAGTTAAAAAGTAAAAACTGTTGGTTAGAATGTTTCCTATGAAAATATGCTTTTTGAAAACAAAGAATATTTCATACTGGATAAATCTGAATTCTGAAAACTTAAGCTTTGAAAGTGTCTACTTAACTTTAATAGGAGCCACACATAAAACTTCAATACTAGGGCCAAGGGATGCTGGAACGGTAGGAGCAGGGCAGGTAATGCAACTCCAAAGACCAAACTCGAAGCCTCACGAATACCCCTCTGATTCCTCTTAACTTTTAATAATTACTACATAATATCTCTGTATAAGTTATAATGCACCGTCAAGCCATGGAAGCAGTATTATAGCTATCAAGTTTTGGTTTAAGGTTCTCAACTCTGATCACTAAACTCATCAACAGAGTTTATTAAATCTAGAGATACCCAGGCTCCATCTCCAGAATCTAGTTTGTTAGAATAAAATCCAGGCATTGATGTATCTTTTATATGGGGGATATGAGGGCAGGGGACTTCCCAAGGGCACTCAGATGGCCCAGTAACCACTCCAGGTTATATTGAGCCAACAATGAAGTTCTACTCACACAGATAGTGCTCCGAGCCACAGGGCCAGGTCACTCCAGAAGTGCCCAACGGCCTCCAGGACTACACCTGGAGGTGTTCAGGGGACCATTCAAGTGCCAAAAATAAAACTCAGGATCTCAAGCTTGCTAGGCCTGTGCTTGAGGCCTCTGTGCTATCACCCTAATCTCTGGCATATTTTTTTTAAGTCTAACTTCCCAAAGTGATTTCAATATGCAGTCAATATTGAAAATAATACTAGCGTAAAAGATCATCATCAGATTGTGGTTTCTTCCTACATGTAATGTTTCTTTTTTATTAAAATTCTGAAAACTCACTTGTGTTCATTCTTGTACGCTGTCATTTTAACTTTCAAAGATCTGACAATGTTAGACAATGACAAAGAATAACAATAAACCAATCCTGAAGCTCTAAAGAAGTTAAACTATCTCACAGGGTCACAGGGTCAGAGAGAGAGTACAGTAAGCAGTAAGGCAAAAGTACAGCAGTAAGGCACTGTGGCATGCAGCTGATCCAGACTGATCACCAGCACTGCAAATGGTCTCCAAACCACCACTAGAAGGAATTCCTGAGCAGAGAGTCAGAAATAAGTCCTGACACTGCCAGGTGTGGCTCAAAAAGATAAAAAAAAAATCACCTCACCATAGCAAATTTGGTTTTTGAACCTCTCTTTGGCATTGTTCTGGTAGGCACTCTCCCTTTCAGTAGAAAGTGAATACCTTCTACCACTCAAAAACCAAACCAAAGCAAAACAAAAAAAAAAAACTCACAAACAAGTACACAAAGTACACAAACTACCAGTTTCTCAAAAGTTCATGAATTGCCAGGCACTCTAGGGGAAAGGGCAGCTCAAGATAGAGAAGGGAGAGCACCAAATAAAAGATGTTTGGAGGATCCTCCCAGGAGGGGAGATACATGTTGAAAGTAGACTATGGACTGAACATGACTGCCACTCAATGCCTCTTTTGCAGACCACAACACCCAAAAGGAAACAGAGAACAAAAGGGAATGCCCTTCCACAGAAGCAGGGTGGGATGGGGGGGATGGGTGTGGGAGGGATACTGGGATCCATGGTGGTGGAAAATGGGCACTGGTGGAGGGATGGGTATTTGATCATTGTATAATCGAAACCCAAGCACAAAAATTGGTAAATCTACAACTGTACCTCATGGTGTTTCACAAATAAAAATTAAAAAAAAAAAGTTCATGAATTTCTATCTAATTACTTGTTTGCAAAACAACTATTCCATATAAGAATGATATACAGTAATAGAGGACTTAAGAGATAGAATAGGGGCTAAAGTGCTTGCCTTGCATGCTGCTTAACTAGGTTTGACCTCCAGCAACACATACAGGTCCCCCAAAGCCCCCCAGAAGCTACCCGAGTGCACAGCCAAGAGTAAGTCCTGAACACAGATGGGGAACACTCCCAACCGATCCCAAAAAAAACTGGGGGTTATAAGTCAAAGGACTGGAACACATATTTTGCATACAGAGCTCCAGATTTAATGCCCCACACTACATGGTTCCCTAGCACAATCAGGTGTGACCCAACATTTAAAAATTCATTCAACTGATAATCAGAAAAAATTAACTCCATACAACTGCTGACATCTTTAAACAGGACCTCATATGGCCACATGGTCCATCTACATCATATTTGATGCAGTTTGTATGTTTATCAAGCTGCGAGCTTCACAGTTTCTTGTTATCTACATATAAATAACCAAAAGGCAAAAACAGACCTGAAAAATGTGTATGTATGTACATGTATGTGTGTAGGAAAATGCATGTATGTACAAAGCGCAATAAAATTTTATGAACATACACAAGGGACTGCAGCAGGCTGCAAAGATCCCAGGAAAACACCAATATTACAACAGTATGATTTGTGGTATACTCCATCTCCCCCTGGTGCTTTAGAATGAAATAACATGTTTATATTCTACTAGATGTTTTAAATGTGCATGAGAAAACCAAACAATAAAGTTTATCTATCATTAATAACTACAAAACTTTTTAAGTGCTTTTTTAAGTGAGAGATGAAAATGGGATGCAAATAAAACGAGACTAGATATATTAATCGAAGCATCAAATCATCATTATTCTACAACTAATATTAAAGAATTTTCTTATGCTGTAGCACATCAGTTTGAGATTTCAGCTTTCATTCATACCTCCATTGATATGTGGCTTCTTTTTAAATGAAACTGCATTCACCATGTCCCACTCTGCTTCATAACTGTTCTGATGTTCCGATCCTCGATGAGCTCTTTCTTTGGGGGCCTGGGTCCATTCCACAACTGAACTGGAGTCCTAAAATAATTTGAGCATATAAAATATTTAGGGGCCAAAAGCAGAATTCAATTTCCTTCAATAATTATTATTCCTATGCAAAATAAGTCTGTATACTGTGAAAGACAGCACTAATGGGTAAACTTTTTTTTCTTTCTTTATTAAAAAGATAATAAAACCATGCCTAAACTCCCTTGCATCAAACCATCAAAGAAATATAAGCAGGAGTTAACTCTGGAAAGCTTTTGATTTCCTAATAAAGGCTTCATTCCTTTCCTTCCTTTTGCTGCTCTGAATACAACTGCACCCAGTTTATGACCATAAGAGAAGAAGCACTGCAAATATTTCCAAACTTCCAGACTGCTACGTGCTAGAGAAAAACAGCCAAAGATAGCTAATTATTTACATCACCACTGTTTTCATATTCTTACCACTGTTAACTTTCAATCTACCAATAATGCTTTGGATCCCTGGATTTGACCACCAGTACTACAAAAACCAAGTAAACAAATATTACCAGTAACATGTGCATAAAGTTCAGTAGAACTTTTTTCTCCAGTGCCAGACATCAAAATCAAGGAACATGGAGCAAGAGCTCTGGCACCTTCTTCATCAGTTCTACCACATACTTCATATATATGTGCTCAACCCTGAGCCCCCCAAAATAACAGGATCAGTGAAAATATAATCAAGTTTAAAATCCAGTATTAAAAAGTTTGAATTTAAAAAAAAAAAACCAACTTCCACCATTTTATTTATATAGACAAATATCAACACAAAAGGCAAAATCTGGCATGAGTCAAGTCAAAGAATATGAAATGACAAACAGCAAGATGTTCATCTTCAGAAAGAAACAAAGAAAGTTTAAATGATATTTTTGCCTCTAATAAGAAAAGATAGTTATCAAATAAAAAAGTATGAGAAGACATCATTTCATACTCCTGATGATACTGTTATTTGTACCAACTCCAGAAGGACAACTTAATCTTATTGAAATTCAAGTATATATTCATTTTGTCATCTACTCTACAGAAATACTGGTACATGTCTATAAAGTGGCAAACACAAAATTTTCTTCATTCTTGGGTTTCAACAAGAAAACATTTTTTGATTCATTAAAGCACTTTTTATAATAGTGAAAAAGTAAAAATAGCCTAATATCCACCAATGAAAGAATAAGCAAGTAAACTAAAGGGTAGCCAATGATATTAGGCAGCAAAGCTCTGTATATATTATTATATATAAATATTAATAGGTATATATTTTATATACTCTTTCAGTGCATAACAGTAAGTGAAATTTAAAAGTTGTAAAAAAACATGTGAAATATCACAACTAGTGGGCTGGAGCAATGGTACAGCAGGAAGGGCATTTGTCTTGCACATGGCCGACCTGGGTTCGATCCCTGGCATCCCATATGGTCCCCTGAGCAGCGTCACGAGTGATTCCTGAGTGCAGAGCCAGGAGTAACCCCTGAGCATTGCTGAGTATGACCCAAAGATCAAACAAACAAAAAAAAGAAGTATTACAACAACACGATTATAATCTTGATAAACTGATAGACAAACAGATTTACAATGTTTATAGATGATGACATGGAAAGATATAGACCAAACAAGGTCAGGATCCTCAAAAATGGAGATCGGGATTCTAGTCAACCAGGTATTCAATTTTTGCTATTTGAAGCTTGACAAGGCTGTAGTTGTGTATTCTGTGTGTGTGGGGGGGGGGGGGAGGAGGGAGGACGGGATCGGAGTGGAGGGGAAGGGGCACTGTATTACTATATCACTGGCAGAGCTGGGCGGGGGGCGGGGTGGGGGGAGTAGCTGGGCCATACCAAACAAAGCAGGAGTAAAATGCAACATACTGACCGCTGAATGCCAGTAATCGCATATAAATATGCCCTACCACTTGAACCGCAACTCTAACCAGCGTGATTTTGTTTGTTTGGGCTTTTCCTGGCTATGCTCTGGAGTCACTCCTGACTCTGCACTCAGGAATTTCTCCAGACAGTGTTCGGGGAACCATACGGGATGCAGGGCATCAAACCCAAGTCAGCTGAATGCAAGGCAAATGGCCTACCTGCTGTACTATCACTTCGGACTCACAAGTGTGATTCTTTTTGAAAGAAAAAAATTCAAAACTCGTAGTAAGAAAGACACTGTAAAGGTACCCCAAGAAGGCAAAAAATAACTGAAAGAAGACAAGGAAAGAACAAAGAAAGGACAGTGAGGTAGAGAGATTTCTCTGCTGGAGATGAGGAGTTACTTTTGTGGTGGAAAAAGTGTTCAAAATCAGATCTTGAAAAAGTGTGCAAAACCTGTTCTGGGAAAAATCACTAAGTGGTACACCTTGAAAGGGTGCCTTTGGCAAAAAGAGAGTAGACTAACAGCACTTTTTTTACATGTACCTGACCCTGGCTCGATCCCAAGCTCTGCATGGTTCCTGGACATGGCCAAGAACAACACCATAATACAGCACTGGGAATATTCCCTCAGTATTGCCACGTGGGACCCAAAGCCCCTCCCAAAATAAACAAATAAAAATGGGTGAATTTTTTAGAATAACGATAGCACAGCGGTAGGGCGCTTGCCTTGCGCGCAGCCAGCCCGGCCGACCCGGGTTCAATTCTTCCGCCCCTCCTGGAAAGCCCAGCAAGCTACTGAGATTATCTCGCCCTCAGGACAAAGTCTAGCAAGCTCCCCGTGACATATTCAATATGCCAAACACAGTAACAAGTCTCACAATGAAGACGTTACTGGGCCTGCTCCAGCAAATCTCAATCAAGCTGTTAGCTTTCCCTGGCAAGCCTTCAGTCATACACCATTTTTTCTTACCTTTTTCGCATAGAGAATACTAGAAGAATCAAAGGCATCATCCAAAGGTCTCCAGTCCACAATTACTTCAGCATCCTGGAAAAACAATTATCTTACATTCTTAACCACCTATTTTTTAATTCTGTATGTCCAAAATGAAAATTTTTACCACTTAAATCTTAGCACTTTAAATATTCAGTATCATCTGATAGCAATTGTTACATAGATTTTTTTTAAAATTCTGCTTGATTTTCTATGCAACTTTTTATATTTCTGGAACTTTTACAGAAGTTTTAACATTCCATGTCATTGTACTTGCTCATCTAAATTACTGTATTTGTAAGATCATGTCCATGTTAAATTTACAACCACTGTTTAATTATATAATTCCACTTTACACTTGAAATTCAAACGTACTTGATAATTCCACAAAGATGAGTCACCACAACAAAAGTAAGTTATTATAAAAACCATACCTTTTCAAGTTAGAGAGCTAGTACAGCATGTAAGGCACTTGCCTTGCAAACAGTTGACTCTGATTGTCTCCCGAGCACCACATATGGTCCCCTAAGCACCACCAGGGATCACACCTGAACACAAAGTATAACCCCCACATACCCCCCTTTCTGAAAGAACCATACCTTTTCTAAAACACGCAATATTCCTGCAATCAAGCTGTCTTGGTCTTGAGTCTTTCCACAAGATGAATGAATATAGACGCCTTCCTGCTCATATATAACCTGGAACAGCAAAAATAAGATTAATTGCATCATTTTTATTTGGCACTACAACTTTTTTCAAAAAGAAACCAGTTGAGAGATACTTTTTAGAATGCTTAACAAGCTGTTATTTCATATATGAGTAATATTTTTAAAATGTCATTCAGAATCTGAATATTCGAAGACAAAGTGAAAGGACATTCGCTTTTGTTAACCTAAAGACAACCATAATCATGCTATTCTCCCAAAATAAAGGTGTCAAATTAAATACTGTGTGTATCCATAATAAGTTCAAGACATTTACAAGTCTTTAGAATGATTATTTTGACATATTACACTAATGTGAACATAACATATAAAGAAGTTGCTTAATACATTACATAAAACTTTTCAATATGATATCCTAAACAGTATTCAATAAGACTAGGGATTATATAAAGACATGAAGATAGGAGATACCAGTTACAAATGATATTTAAATATACCATATTAAACCAAGTCAAAAACATTTATTTACTCCCAAACATCTGAATACTATTTTAATGTGATTCTCCATAAAGTCACCTCTGGTTCACGGTATTTCTCAAAATCTTTTAACTTCATAATCCCCTTTTTCTTACTGATGTTGTAGAACTTTAATGTTTCACAGGTTTTGAGAAACTTTGTACTGCTTGGATTTCTTTGTGTTAAGTGATATATCTTGAACCAATCTTTTGAACCAAAATTTTCTATAGACATGTCATAAAGTGAGATTCTATTCCTGGAATTCATTTCAAGTTATTAAAAATACTTCTACAGAGGCTGGAGAGGCAGTGAAACAGGCTGGGCACTTGCCTTGCAAGCAGCCCAGTTGATCCCCAGCATCCCCACATGGTCCCCCCTGCCCTGCCAGAAGTGATCTCTGAGCAGAGAACCACGAGTAAGCCCTGAGCACCACCACATGTGGCTTCTCTTTGCCACAAAATTAAACCTTTTCAGGGTCCAGAGAAAAAGCACAAGGAGCTGGAGCACACAGTTTGCAAGCAGAAAGCCCAGATTTGATCCTGCCACTGGAAGCTTTCCTAAGCACCACTGGGAGCGACCCTGAGCACCGCCAGATGCAGCCCCTGAATACTATAAGAAAGGGGAGGGGGTAGTGGGGAGGGGGAGGAGAAGGAGGACGAGGAGGTTTCTGTGGCTCTCAGTTCATCAAATTGTAAAAAAAGGGAAGTTGAATGAGATAATCACATATAGAGGAAATACAAAATAGAAGTAGAAATACAAAAATATTCTCAAAAAGAAATCCCTTAAAATCTCAAGTTTCACACCCAAGAATGGCCGAGATTAGTACCAGGAATTTTACTCCATGGCTTGGAGGCCAACCACACATGCTAGGGGAAAAGGGAGCTCAGATAGAGAAGGGAACACCAAATAAAGGTGTTGGGAGGATCCTCCCAGGATGGGAGAAGCATGCTGAAAGTAGACTATAGACCAAACATGATTGTCACCCATTGCCTCTTTTGCAAACCACAACACCCAATAAGAGAGAGAGAACAAAAGGGAATGCCCTGCCACAGAGGCAAGGTGGGATGTCGGGGATTGGGGGGTGGGAGGGATACTGGGATCCGTGGTGGTGGGAAAGGGGCGCTGGTGGAGGGATGGGTATTTGATCATTGTATAACTGAAACCCAAGCAAAAAAAGTGTGTAAGTCTGTAACTGTACCTCATGATGTCTCACTATTAAAAATTTTTAAAAAAAGGGACACACACACACAAAAATATCTCAAGTTTCAGGGACAGAAGAAAAATATATCCAGAAATTACACATTATCATATTTTCACCTAAGAATCAGCTAGTAAAAAAAAAAACTTCAGAGTTCCCAAAGTATCAAAAGACAAGTTAATGTTAACTTCATTAATTCAATCTAAGGTTATGTGATATACAGAGGTTCTCAAAATTACCTGACACTCCCTTTTCAGAAGCAAAATCACTCAGTGCTTTTTAATTTTAATCAGTAAATTTCCCTAGAAATTTACCTTCTTTAAGAAAACAAATAGAAAGTACCCTCCAACGACAGGCACCTGAGGCGACTGCAGAGATGCTAGGGGGCCCAGGGGTCTCTCCAGCACCTCTGAGGGTGGTGCAGACAGCATCATCTACTTTGGGAAACACTGGGTCAGAATTTAAAGTGAAATAAACCCTATAAAAATAAAAATATGAAAAGTAATAGGACCCAGTAGTTCTAGTATAGCTAGGATTGGCCCCGGGTTTCTATTCACTGCTGGGGATTCTATTACCAGAAAAAAAGGAAGGAAAAACAGTACATTAAGTACCTCTTTCCCACTTATACTGATCCAGAGTTTTGCTTTTTTTTTGGGGGGGGGGGGAAGCATTGGTTTGGTTTTGGCCACACCCAGTGATGCTCAAGGGCTGACTCCAGGCTCTACACTCGGGGATCACTCCTGGCAGTAACTGGGGACAAGTCGTGGAGGAGATTAAACCTGGCTTGGCCATGTGCAAAGCAAATGACCTACCCTGTACTGTTGCTACAGCTCTGAAAGTTTCACATACTTCTTTTCATTTTATAGGAAAGGAGTTTCCTCCAAAGGCCGAGAGAGTCTGGGGAAAATTGTCTGCCCTAGAGGCAGAGGAAGGGTTGAAAACAGGGGACATTCATTGGCGGTGAAGAATGTGAACTGGTGGAGGGATGGGTGTTCAATCATTGTTATGACTGAAACTCAAACATGAAAGCTGATGTAACAGTATCTCACGGTAGGTAGGTAGGTAGGTAGGTAGGTAGGTAGGTAGGTAGGTAGGTAGGTAGGAAGGAAGGAAGGAAGGAAGGAAGGAAGGAAGGAAGGAAGGAAGGAAGGAAGTTTCCTAAGCTATTTCACTGGGGAAATAATTAGGAAATACTAAATTAATAGGTACTGTATGAAAAGTGAAACCCGTACTCACCCTAATTCTGGGGTGCACTCAAGAGAGGGAAGGCCAAGTCCCCACCCTGGCAAAGCCCCGGCAGCCACACTGCACGCCCATAACTGCTGCTATGCTAACAGCCCAACTGCACTGCCTCATGATTAATCTCTGCAGAGACACCAAACTGTCGAAAATTCCAGTACAGTGATCTTCAGGCTCAGAAGTTTTCTCAGAGCGCGGGGTGGACAGCCTCCCCTGGGCACCACCTGAAGCAGTAATATTTTCTACAATTAAGTAATCTAAGAAACTGCTTTTCTCTAAGGAAAAGCAATGTGTAATTTTTTCCCCCTTAATTTAATCACTGCAGTTTACAAAGTTGTTTATGGATATACTTGTCATAGGCCTTTAGTATGCCAACACCAATCCCACCAGCAGTGTGACTTCTCCACCCCAGTTCCTATTTTCCCAACCACCTCCACACCTGCTAAGCATACAAAATAATTTATTTTACAATGCTTGTTACAATTAAATGGGTAATGGAATTAAAAGAAATACTTCACAAGAAAATCTGTGAAAATCGTCACAACGCACCATGGGAGTCAATAAACCTGTGAGGATTTACTCAGATGTTTGTTGCTAGTTTAGTATTTTGTGATATAGGTAAAGGTAAAGGTAAAGGCCCTCCTGTTGATCGTCGATTTGCTCGAGCGGGCCCAGTAACGTCTCCATTGGAGACTTTGTTGTTACTGTGTCTGGCATATCGAATACTCTCGGTAGCTTGCCGGGCTCTCCGAGAGGGGCGGAGGAATCGAACTCGGGTCGGCCATGTTGGCCGCGTGTAAGGCGAACGCCCTACCCGCTGTGCTATCGCTCCAGCCCTTTGTGATAGAGTTACTGCTTATTTGGCCTAGTTGGCTTCTATGTTACTTTCTGGTTCAGTGCTCAGGAAATCATGAAGTGTGGGTATAAAGCACAGGCCTCAATAAATAGCAATACTCCTACATACATACATAAATAAATAAATAAATAAATAAGTAAAATTTAAAAAATAAAGCAAAGGCCTCCCATGCAATTAGCCCTTTAAATTATTTGCTGTGCCCTAAAAAACAGATAAAAATGCTAATATGCTTAATTTATCAGTACAGAAGCAAAAGACAACAAAATAAAATTTCCCACTAAACTCCACAAGGCATTCCACTAAACTGCCAAGAAATATTCCACATGATACAAACAACACCAGACAAAGTTTTACTTGTCCAAAGACTACATAATGAAAAAGCAATTAAAACCTAATATACAGACACTGACAATTGTTCCAATATTCTATGCAGTCATAGTCTAACCTGGAATAGTGATATGAACATAAGTAGGTCCCCTCTGTACTACAGGAAAGAAAGAAATCAACAATTCTTCTTTTTTCTACCTAAGATTTGAAGGAATACAGCTCAGGTCATAAAGCAGATCTGACTTCTGTGACTACATGCCCTGCCATCCAAGCAACAGCCTGGAGTGGCCCTGATTTAAAAAAAAAAAAAAATGAAGGAAAATGAAGATTTTATGGCATAATGTAGTAGCACTGTAGCATTGTCCTCCTGCTGTTCATTGATTTGCTCAAGCGGGCCCAGTAACGCCTCCATTGTGAGACTTGTTACTGTGTTTGGCATATCAAATACGTCACGGGGAGCTTGCTAGGCTTTGCCATGCGGGCAAGATACTCTAAGTAGCTTGCCGGGCTCTCTGAGAGGGGCGGAGGAATTGAACCTGGGCCGACCAGGTCGGCCACATGCAAGGCAAATGCCTTACCCACTGTGCTATCGCTCAATAAATATAAATCAAAGACAAAAATCGTATTTCAAAGATGCTCACAGGGATATCCTTGGGCAGTGAAAACTGAAAGAAGAAAAATGGGACAAAAGCCAACATTACTAGAATTGCGCTCCATAGTTGGCTACCTCTTCACACAGAACCCAGGATGAGTTATCTGACCAGGATCCTAAAATAGCATAACAACAGACAGACAGCACACACTTTCCTTGGCTGCAACCTTAGGAATAAAGAGGTACTGAATCTAAAATTAAAATAACCTAATCAATCTGCTAGCTTATACTATCAGATATTACTG